GGCTGCAATAAATGGTGAAATAATGACATCACATTAACCTTTTCTTGTCCTTTTTATTTCCAGCCTCACCTTAACCTGCTATGAAGTAAGATCTGTGAATACTCGAAAAGGAAGGCTCTGGCATGTGAAAATATAAAACTACTGCCATTCATTGTTTGTATATGCAACCTACTGGAAGAGATGCCGTGAATATTAAGAGCAAAGATATAATACACAGCATCAGGTCATAACATGGTGGTGGCAGCAGGGGCTTCTGAGAAAGGACATCTATTAGAAAACTGTATCAGAAGCTTTGCAACAAAGGACAGGGAAGGGTAAAAGATTTAACTGATCTATTACATCAGGAAACTGCAAATGTAAATGTTGCAGCAAAGAGCTGATACTGCATATCAGATGTGAACACTGGCACTCCTGGTACTGTCACCTTATATACTATCCTGGAAAAAAAAAACAAAAACTCATGCTTCACGCACCTGTCCTCTCTTGAGACCGAAGTATCGGGCAACAGGATCTCCAGCCTGGATCCTCATCAGCTGATTCTCCCTTAGTTTGCTTGGCAGGGTTAAGGGGCACACCGCACAACAGGCAGTTAGTGAGGAAGAGGCTTTTTATTATTAGGTTACAGCATAACTGGATCAATTTGAAAATGGAAATATTTTCTTTGCTCCAGCTTCATCTCAATGGCCCAAAGAGGACATATTACTTCTTTTTTATATGAATTTGGAGGCAAGAGTTAGTCTCGACATTTTTCTGATCTAGACAACTACTTGTCCACGGACAATATTCACATGACAGAGACACGACGACAAGTGAGAAGGAAACATATACACTGTGTCATTTTGTGAATAAATCCCCCAAAATATGGCAAACATCAGCAGTGGCAAATTCTTTCTCTCTCAGAAATAATGCACTTAGGCGCCATACTGTGTACAGCACAGTAGTCTGTGTAACTACACTACATCTTTCAGCCCCTTCTGGCCATCATGAGGTAACACGCTTGTACATTTACCTTCTTCCTTTACTGCTATTCCTCCCTACATTGGTCAAAACATATGGGAGGAGTTGTAGAGTATTACCGCCGAAACAAGTTGTAATGTAGTTATATACACTATTGTGGTGACGGAACTTACCAGTTAAAAAAAAAAACTCCATCCTTTCATTCATGTACCAGTCAACTTCTAGTCTGTCAGAAGTTAATTTCTGTTTGGAATCATGCTGTCCACTATGAAAGGTTTATGATATTTAGAACATGCCAGGACTAACACAAAAGTTAAACGTAAAGGTGTCCGTGTGTAGTCCTACAAATCTCAGCTTTCGTTCCCACCAGCAAAGCTGCAATGAGATGCTCTCTTCAGGACTTAGTCTACAGGAGTCATTTTATTGAGCAAGCTATCCCTGGACACCTTTTATATATTTTTGCCAACTGAATACTTAATTCCCATAACAGTTCTGGCACTGTTGTGGAAATTATGTGTTTCTTTCATTTAAGGCACCATGCAAGCAGTACCTATGCCAAGTGGTTTGCAAATCACCTTCACAGTTAAGTATCTCATACAGGGGCAAACACAAGCACAATTAGTAAGCAGTGTCGCTATGCAATTCCAAAATCACACATCACTGTACTCACATTTGTTCACAATGGTCACTTCTTCGCTACAAATACATCATTCAGTAATGGCATTATTATTTATTATTATTATTATTAGAGGGGGTGGGTTTCCCCATGCACTTAGACCAATTATTGGTCCATTGTGCGTCCCCCTTTAATTTCTACTGTCGCCATACCCTACCGGTATTGGTGCGTGCTATCAGCCCCGTTCAGCCAACGAGGTCGGCCGTCGGTACATGATATTTCCCCCATCTACCAGAGGCATTGGAAACTACTTGAGCAGGAAATTGTTGCTAATTTTGCTCAGAGGTCTCCTAGAGACATGAGGATCTTTTACGTGCTATAAATCTAAGACATGGGATCCATGGCTTAAAGTCCCTCCCAGAGGACTTGTTCCCTGATTTTTTCCGCCCTTAAAAATTCCACGACCTCCGCCGGGTTTGAACCCGCGTACCTTGAGTCATGAGGTGGGAACGTTACCCCTAGACTACGGAGGCCGCTCAGTAATAGCATCATCAACTGCATCCCCAAAATTAACAACAGATATACAGGTCATTAATGTGCTATTCCATTTTTCATTTATTGCATGCATGTGTGCTCGCTCGTTCGCTCACATACAAGTGTTTCCTGTGTGATTAGAGAGGAAGTGAAATCCCAAATTTAGAGGGGAACTCAACTCTGACACTATGGCAAAGTCTGTTTTTAACAATCATAATAAACATGATGATTACTCTGGACACTGTTCATTTGTTTAAGCTTCCCCAAATGCAACGCTTTGGATACTGGACCTAATTCTGTAATGAGGCATAAGGAAAGGAAAGTTCCTACTTAGATGGGCCCCTCTGAAGAAGTCAATCATGATTACTGGACATCACTGTCCAAAATAATAGACACTTTTAACTACTGATATCATTGATTTCAGCTTATTGAATATGAACTTCATACATAAAACTTTAAAAGTAAAGCTGTCCCTGTGCTTAATTAATTAAGTACTATGCCATGAAGACATATGGGGGAGTAGAGGTATAGCTCCACAATTCCTGACCTCGACAGTAGATGGAGGTGAGTTATCAGCTTCACGCCCTGGTCACCTTACCTATGGGGAAACTGCCACCAGCACACACTGTGTATGAGGCTGGGTGGGCCCAAGAGCTGTGGAGAAGAGAAAAATCTTTCCTTGCCTGGAATCAAAGCCAGGCTATCCAGCCTGTAGCCCATCACTTAACTGACTCCACATAAAAACTTACATTAAGAAACATTCAACAAGGATCTACGTAAACTCCATTAATTCAAGGGCAACAATCAAAATACAAAAGTTCTAGCTTCTGTAATGTAACATTGCACAGTCCTTTGAAAGCCAACAAACTTACAGCATTACATCCCACATATCCATGCCCACCACTGCAGGACCTGCAAATCTTACAATCAAAAAACAAATCCGAGAATGTGTGTGTGTGTGTTCTCTTAAGTACCGAATCTTATTTAATCTATCTTACCAACTGAACACAAAATGTCATGATTGAGCGGATGCTTCCTATTCAAGACGTCCCAGGTTCAAATCTCAGCCCAGAGACCAATTCTCCTGCTTGAGGTTTTCTGTGGTTTTCCTCAGTCCTTTCAAATAAATAACAGGACAGCAACTGAAAACAGGCCATGACCGCTTCCTACAACATCCTCGTCAATCCCTTATTCACCAATTACCTTACCATTCCATGCTATAGAGTCTAGAGCCACTGACAGTCTTCAAATAAACCATAAACAAATAATGAAGTCTGGGCAGAAGATTTAAGTGTCCTTTACACCGATGTTGGTGGCAATACATTTCTCCAGAATGTTGGTATCTATCTACCAAACTAAAAGGTACCACATCTCAGAACATATCAATCTCCATGGTCAACCAGCACAAGAGATGTAAATATATAAGTAAGTAAATAAATAAATAAATAAATACATTAAAAGGATAGATTATAGCTAAGAGCTCTTGCTTTTCTTCAGGTGTCATGACAACATGTTCTGGCACCAGCTCATGCTCTGTGATGTTGATCAGTAACTCTGACTCCAGGAACTGTTCCAGGATGTACTTGGGGGCCATATCCACCAGAGACTGCAACATAAACACCAACTACTAGCAATACAATGTACATGGCATGAAAATGTGCAATGGGTGTGGAGGTGAAGCTCCATGCATTTTTTGGGTTACATAACATGTATAACAGACTAGTGCTCAGAAAATAATAGTGTTGTAATGTATAGTGACACAATGCGGACAGTCTTCCTGCAGTCAAGGTACAGAACTCAACAAAACCAAAGGCTCTAATGAAGATAAATGCTGACTGGGATGTCAACCTGCACAGCCAACCTATCAGACCAAACAGTGTCACATCCCAGAAGACAGTTATATTCATAGTCACTGCCACATTAACCTTAAATCCAGCTCCTCTAATGTGTAACTCTCACCCTAATGTGGTACATATGCTCTCATGTGAAACTTCTACACTCTGCACACACAGTCAAAGCCATTCCCAATCACCAAACTTCATTTCACTAAACAACAGAGGAAAACTAACACAATATGTAAGCGGCCTCCATAGTCTAGGGGTAACGTTCCTACCTCATGACTCAAGGTACGCGGGTTCAAACCCGGCAGAGGTCGTGGAAATTTTAAGGGTGGAAAAATTCAGGGAACAAGTCCTCCGGGAGGGACTTTAAGCCGTGGGTCCCGTGTCATAGATTTATGGCATGTAAAAGATCCTCATGTCTCTAGGAGACCTCTGAGCAAAATTAGGCAACAAGTTTCCCGCCCAAGTAGTTTCCAATGCCTCTGGTAGATGGGGGAAATATCAGGTACTGAGGGCCAACCTCGTTGGCTGAACGGGGCTGATAGCACGCACCAGTACCGGTAGGGTATGTCGACAGTAGAAATTAAAGGGGACGCACAATGGACCAATAACTGGTCTAAGTGCATGGGGAAACCCACCCCCTCTAACAACAACAACAACAACAATAATAATAATAACAACAGCAGCAACACAGTATGTACTATCATCTGGGATGTAAAGCCGTGTAGCCTTGCAGAAGTACCTTGACACTTTGGAGGAATGTCAGTAGAACACTGGATAATATGACGTTACACAGTACTCCACATAGTCACCTGTGTAAGAACCTTACAGCCAACATATTGTAGTTGTGTAATTGGGAGTGTGCAATACAGTGACACTTATATAGCTCCCGTACTGTGAATACGTATAGACTACTGAAGATAGAGAGAACAGATTATTGTGAATAGGGTTATAAATCGTGAAACCCCGCAACAGTGTAAACAGATTATTGTGATTAGGGTTATAAAGTGTGAAACCCCGCAGCTGTGTTATAAATAATTGTAGCCGAGATTTGTAGGTTGTGAAATAAACCAATTAACAATCTCTACGGCGTATTCAGTAACGATACACGTTACACTGGTGTCAGAAGTGGGATTTGAACTTACACATGTGACCAACAAGATCAGAACTCAAGACACGTTACAATATAATTCACAGGCTTCTGATGAAATGACCACCACAACAAAGAATGATGTAACTTGTATCATGCATGCCTCTGACAGTCTAGAAAAGGAATACATTATTATTACAGAAGATCTGAATCTTTCCTGCAAGAGAGTAGCCTACATTGGTTCCAATACCATCTTATAGTAGAAATTTAATTACATGAAATATCATACATCATAACGAACAAAAACTGTCAATTTAACGTAATCTGAAAAGATACAACATTAACTTCAATTTTATGACTTGAAATTTTAACAACGTAAAATATTTGTAAAAATATACATATTAATTTGCAAGAGATGTGGGGAATTTTTTATATATGGCCCGATAATGACCAAATAAAGAGGTAAAAAAACAGCCATAATGATGAATGACAAATACTGTATGTAAACTCTAAAGGTATATGTGCAACATTGGCTGTGTAGTGATGACATAATATAATACATATAAAATTAATTACAGAAATGGAAATTTTGTCTTCATACAGCCAGTGGAATTTGAAATATGTAAAATCCCATAAGACACGGTCTATTGTCAGCACAGATTGCCCTATAAACACCAACATTAGCGGGAAAGACTGGATGGTCATTTTCACACACACGGAGAAGAGTGTCTTGCATCCATCTGAGAAGAGACTGGTGGAAAAGAGAAAAATTCCTGTCCCTACCAGGATCAAGGGAATACACTCCTCACACCAGACACAACCCTGAAGACTGCAACCTGAATCTCAACTGCAAGCAGCATCTCTGTATGGCTGGGGAGGAGCTGGTGGGTTTGTGTTACCTGCTTGGCTGATGGGGTCATGCCTTGCTGCACCACAATGATGGCTCGGTGAATGTTTTCCTCCTGCATTCTCTGACAGTACGTCTTAATAGTCTTAATTCCAATCTTTGGCTCATCAGGGAAGAAAACGAACATCTGATCTGAAAAACAAAGAATTAAGTGTAAATATACACTTCTCTACCTGTGTCAATTGTATTTACTTATTTACCAGTCCACCCAGTACACTGATATTAGAGGGGTCACATCAAATATGTCATGCTGGGCTCAATATGCAGCTCAGATGGGGGAGGCAAGAAAATAGCCTTACATGGCTTAAATATAACTGTGTAAACAAATATTGTGATTCTCCCCTTTGGGGAAAACCTCCTCGTCATGCCCACTACAAAAGCATCACTTAATGGCCATGACAATTCCATGTTATAGGGTGACATGAATCTGGTAGATATTAAAAGTATCCTTGGAATCATGATCCTGAACTGACCTGTGGGATCATCATTGTGAGCCACAAGCACGATCAGATCACTTCTTGCTGGCCGCTTCTCACTACAATGCAACAAAAAAGTCTATTAGAATTAAATACATTACTACTTCCCAATGTTCCATTTAAAACAGTTTCACTATTCTTATTTAAAATAGATTAGTATGTACCTAGGTTTATCTCCAAATTGCTCTTTAAATTGTTCCAGTGTCTGATCCAATTCATCCTGAGTCACTAAATAACCTCGATCATGACACAACTGCAACAAAAGAAATTGTTCACTAAGCTTTACATATGCTGGGGCAAATACTAACATGAATGATTATCCTAGCAGTTGAAGTATTCATCAGGACAGACAACTGTAATAATAAAAGGCAGAAAACTGAAACAAATGTTTCAGTTTCAAACATAGTGAACAAAGGCCATCAGTTTGTGTTCAACAGAAAATGTATAATGATTTAGGCCAGTGTTGTGTAACACTTTTCCACCCAGAGCAACCCAAATTTGCCGAAGACATGTGACAGCTGGGAAGATGAATAGTTACTAGAAAAAAGGAAACTGGGCAAATCCGAAAACAGTAAACACTTTAAGGTTTAAAAACTGAATTCAATATATTGACTCTTTTCTATTAAAAAATGCGAATTCATAATTTCTTTAAGATGTTCGCGCCAATCTGAAAACCTTGTGACAACACAACAGCGTAGAATACCCTAAGCTTCCACATTATGTCTATTTACGTAAAATATTATATGGCCACTATTACAGGCAAATTAATTCAGAATCAGAAAGTTTAACGACACGTATAGCATATTAATATAACTTGCAAATAAAAACAAAATGGCAACATATCTGACCTAATGAAACAAAACATATATTTTGAAAACTGAATGCAAAAACTTGGTAAAACACGTAAAAAACTAGAATGATTACACAGATTAAATAATATTTTGAGACGTTCATGACCGGGCACGATTATTTTCCTTCCTTCAAAACAACTGGATGGATAACCGCCGGCAGTTTCGCGGTTAATACTCTGTTCCTTCACGTTATTACGCCATACGAAACTACAGACTGTTTTTATAATTTTAAAGCTAATCTAACCTAGCTTTCACATAGGACAAACAACACACATATTGTAATACCTGCATTACAGTCTTCCTGATTCTCCAGAGCTTGTAAGTTTCTGCTTCATCATCCATTCTCTGTATCACTAAGCAACACAAAAATTACTTTTACTTCCTTCTCCCTTCACAATGCATTCTATACCATTCCCGAACACAAGAAACCTCGCTTCTCACGCTCCTCGTGGTCCTCGTTATCGCTCGTTATCACGGGGATGCAACTCAATGCTATTGCCGGGCAACATAACCGCCGTGACGTCATGAAGCATCACTGCTGCCACGGTGCCCGGAGGCAGCTCTTTTGATATAAAAAAATGCCTGCCGCCAGTGACGAGGGCTCGGTCGGCAAGAAGGTATGCTATCATACCACCAGCATTTTTTTACTGCTCCCTCCCAAAAAAATCATTGATTCACCTCGTTATGCTCGTTATCCACGTTCGGTACACGTTATCGTCAACTTGCTAATGCATCCAACCACGCCATGTAAAATTTATCCTCGCATTTCTGTCATAGGTACAGCGGGAATTCCACGTGTAACATGCTTTCTTCACAAACATGTTTCGAAAACAACGCGGACAAGCAAATCCAACATACTAATAAATTAGCGACCCACAGGTTTACTTTCAAAGATTACGTGTGTAAACTATGGCAGCTGAAAATGACTGGTCATATTGCTCTATAGCAAAATTAATCGATATTCTGAAAGGGAGGAACCTCGTTAAGAATACAGGGGTGATAGACGCGCCATAGCTCAAGCGGCTTCCCACCGCGGCGGCCCGGGTTCGATCCTGGATCCGGTCAAGTGGGATTTGTGGTGGTCAAAGTGGCGCTGGGGCGGGTTTTCTCTGAGTACTTCGGTTTCCCCTGCCAATCTTCATTCCACCAAATTCTCCATCATCATAATCACCCGGGGCAGGTACAATATGCCAATCAGTGCCGCCGTGCCGGACTCCACCACCCAATTGGCGAAAGGAAAAAATACAGGGGTGTTTCCGCTGAAGTTGGAATGAAAGACCACAAATATATAATCCTTTGCTTTTCTGCTTGTTGGCGTTATCATTGTACTTTACTTCTGCAAAAATTTAAACCTGTGCATCAGGTACATGTTAACTGTTTGAACAAGAATTATAAGCAAGGATGGTCCATTAACTTTTTGGAACATTACTAACAAGGCTTTCAGAACTGAATGCTGGTTATTTTCTGTATTTCCTCTTCTTCAGCATTTCTAAGGTGATAACAGTCTGAACATAAACAACAGGATACCAACATGTAAATCTTTATAGTCATAAGATAATGTAATAAGTCTTCAAGACGTAGGATAGTAAGGTGATGACTGGATTCACCTGGCTCAAGATAGGAACTGTTGGGTTTAAAAAATGCCAAGGATTCTTGACAGGGAGAGAAACTATTAGCATCTCAACGGCCAGTTTCATGAGTTAATATTGCACTGTACATGATGAAACTATAGTAGAAGCAAAGCTTTAATTCTATACAGGAAGAACCATGATCTACACCTGACAAAACTGAGCAAGCCATCTTGTAACTCTAATTAGCCTGCTTAAACCTGCTCCCACAGCTGAAATTTTACTTTGCAATTAACAGTAATTTACAGCACAACTTCAGCTTCATTCTTCAAATAAGGCTCTTGCCTTATTACAATTACAAATGTACAGCAGGAAAGACTTCTCATGAAGTTCAAGTACAAGCAAAGTTACAAATGCACAAGACCAGTTCATGAAGGCAACGCTCTGAGCATTCTCAGCCTTACATCAGGTGGGATGGAGTGAATGGATTTGTGAGTCAGCTGCTTTACTTTAAGGAGCCAGGGACCAGCTACCCTTTTAGAGGAGGATTAATTATTAGTTATAGTGAGTTCTATTAAGAGTGAAGTTTTAGAATCAGAAAATGTGAAAACTTATATGGAATATTTTAAAGCATTATTTGCTAGGAGAGCAAAATAAAAATTACGAAAAGCCTAAGTGAGAATAAATGGTCTTCAGAAGTACATTACCAAAACCTCCTGAATGATGTGTGTACATGAAACATACAATCACTACAATCATTATAGGCCTGAAAACAAAAGAATAAAGTACCAGAACATCAAACTGAAAAGCTGATAAAATGTTTCCCTAAACCCAGCTGAAGACATTTTCACATGGTATCAGTAACTCTGCAGTCCACTGGTAACAAATTCTTAAGTGATAATAATGATAATAATAATATAAAAAAAAGGGTAGAGCTATCCCTGTAACAGGGCGTTGAAGCTCCCATATTTTCTAGACAATTGCCTCACAGATGGTAGTGAGGTTTCCTGTCTTGTGCACCAGCTAGCAGTCTTTTACCTCCCAGGTATATTCCTGTTAGAGGCTGACATGATCCCAGCACCACAGGGCAGCTGGAAGGATTAGGTCAACTGAGAAATCCAATAACCTAATCTAGAATTGAAACTGCGACCTTCCAGCTTTTAGCATAGTGCCTCAACCTAATATGCTACCACATGCTCCCAATTCAGAAGTAATAAAATGCAGAACTGAGAGCTATAAAATATAACCTTCTTAATAGACTTCTTAGCCTGGCTCATATGCTTTTTATTATAAGCTACAAATCAATTTTTCTACTTCTCTGATACAGTTCTAACTTGTACTACCATTTGAAGAGAATATGCTGAATCACATTCAAACTGTTCTACCTACACACAAATGTTCTGTATAAAAGAAAAATGACAGCACTCTGTGATGTAACGATGTGTAATCTCACAGATACAAACCTCAAAAACTACAACTCGAATGCCCTTCAATAAAGATTTATGACACTGTCATCAATTACACAGATCACTCAAAATTTCTGGGAGCCTGGCTAGATAAGCATCTGAGATGGACTATACATACGCAAAAGTTAGCAAACAATTTATGTAAAATATGTTTTGGCCTAAGAGTAGTCAGAAGAGTGACTGGATTAGAGACTGTCCGCACGTTATATTTTCCTTATTTCCAATCTTTGCTATCATATGGACTGATATTTTGGGGTAACTCAGTAAAAGCAAAATTGATATTTAAATTACAAAAGAGAGCTATAAGAGCTATGACCCAGGTCCCAAAAACAACTAGTTGTAAACAAATTTTCAAATCATTACATATATTACCTTTACCATCTTTGTATATATACGAAATTTTAATATACATAAAATCCAATTTAAATGATTTCACAACCAACTCAGGATTACACTCATACAATACAAGGAAAAAAGACGACTTACACATCGTCCCATGTAATACAAGTCTATACAAGAACAACTTTAACAATGTAGGAATTCGACTGCTAAATCATTTACCACTACATATTAAAGAGATACCAGTACTATTCAAGTTCAGAAGTGCTTTGAAAACTTACCTACTTAATCATTGCTTCTACAAAGTGGATGAGTTTCTCTTGTATGGGGCAAGCACTAGCTCTAATCAATTATAATCACATAAGTAATGAATAATTGGTTTTGGAATCGCTACTGCGCAGTTTTCTTTTCCCTTTTCCAGCAACCAAGCTAACACAGTGGAGATTTACCGGAACAGGCTACTCTGGAGATATGCAGACTTCAAGAAGCTTCACCAGCACTACAGAGACCAGGACCATAAACTACAGTGAAGCAACATACCAGACAATATTATCTCTAAGGCCGTGCCACAGCTTAAGCGGTTAGTCGCTGGCTTCCCACCGAGGCGGTCTGGTCCAGTGGGATTTGTGATGGACAAAGTGGCACTGGGGCAGGTTTTCTCCGAGTACTTCGGTTTCCCCTGCCAATCTTCATTCCATCAAACTCTCCATAACCATAACCACCCAGGATATATATCATTCAAATCATAATTTTATTATCTTTGTATACTATTATATCATTGTGTTATATATTGTATTATTATTATTATTATTATTATTACTATTATTATTATTACTTATTGTATTTAAAGTATTTGACTTGTCCTATATCATGTACAATGATCCATGGATATGATATGAAATAAATAAATAAATAAATAAATAAATAAGTGTTTCAGAAGAACACACCAATTCCATCTTCAGCACAGAAAAAGTGTCCTTCCTTCTGCTACCTTACCAGACAAGTGTGACATGCGCTCACATGCAAATAAATATGACTCTAGAAACAATTTACTCGCCTTTCATGGGCTACATGAAGGACAACTAAAAGATAAGAGTGATTTACTGTAATAGTACAGTCACAAAATATTGCAACATATCATCATGTGGAGTCAAAAGGTTACAATCACTTTTAAACCCAAACAACATTCACCCTGTAATCACTGATAAGCAATATATGAAACAACACTGGATGCATATCGATGAATATTCTCTATCTGGTATTATTAAGTAAATTCAATGATAGAAGTTTGGATGGCACAGACACATACCCTCTGAAATGATCAAAAATTTGAGGAAGGAAACACTCATGGAAAGAGACTAATAGTTCAAAGGTAATATCGAAAACTAAAGTTGAATAAATGGGTTGGAAAATTCTGGTTTTGTGGGTAGAGACCACCTGAAAAATTAAGGAAGAGATGGAGCGACTATTGAAGTTACTTTCAGGGAGCTGGTGTGTGGTAATTTCAACTGGCCTGAAATGCCTCAGGAATGAATTCTGAAGTTTTCTGTTGGGATGGCAATGGAATTTTATGTTGCATGATGTCGGGAGCAATTATAAATATTTCAAATTCCATTTAGAATAAGTTTATTATATTTGTGATGTTTGCAGTTACACAGTTACTATTCTTTGTCAGAATACAGTAAAAAGGAAATAAATTTACTGTGATGGAATTAAACAAAACCAATGCTTTGCTTGGTTTGCAAGATGGTGAAGTATTACTGAAGCAGGACACATATTTCTAAGACAAATGTCTAACTATCCCCAGGTAGTAAAATGTAAACTATGACTTTTCAGATTTGAGAAACACTCCTCATTTTTGTTGCGCCATTTAATTAGAAGCGCCATATTTTATGCCAAGAACATCCCATAAATAGTGGACTGCCATTTTTAACTAACATGTGAGTGGAGTATCTAAATACTGTACATATTAAAAATTAAGCAACAGAACAATTCACCTTGCTGAACAAGAATGATGATTCAGTGCATTCTGAATTGAACTTGAAACCTTGTTTCAATTTCCTGCCACAGCTTTCAAGTTACAATTCTTCATTCCTTAACCTTGAAGGATCTTACCAGTACTTCTCCAAGTTCGACACCAATTTCTGTAAAACAATAACATGTTACACTTTAGAATTTTCGATCTTATTATAGACTTCACAAAAATATCCATTCTTCATTGAGACTGCCATTTTTTTTTGTATTCAGGTAGGCTCTTCCACTGAAGACTCATTTTACATAATATTATATAAAAAAGTCCTGTTATTTCAATATAAATTCTGAAAATTAAGAACACAATATTTACAGCACTTTAGACTGACAGTGAAAGAAGAGAAGTGAGGAACCAGAGAAATGAACTACACTCACACTGGGATCGACATTGGGACCATGTCTTTCAACAGGCTGCCCATTCTTGTCAATGATGAATTTGGTGAAGTTCCACTTGATAAAACTGCAAATGTAAAACAAAACCATAAAGCACAGAGTTAACATGAGTGAACTCAACAAAAGTGGACAATATCCAAAGGCACTCTTTACTACAATTCTCTCAAAATGCCAGCATATGTCCAAACATTTAAATTTCACACAGAATGATATGACATTTACTTCCAGTATTCAAGAACGTTATTTAACTCCTCTGCTTCTTTAGCCAGACTGGTCATTTACACAGGGGCTTCGTCCGGTTGCCATACCTGATCAAGGTTGCAGAGTAATGCTGTGACAAGACAAAATATTTCTCATTCAGGATGTTCAACACACAAACATTTCCCCTGCTACTAGATGCTGTACAACACTACCTTCCACGGTTCCTTCAATATATGTAGATCATTTGCTATTCATTTCTTTTCAGTGAAATTCTGAAAACCATTGTGCTGTGTTGGCAGGCATGCTAGGGGCAGGGATGCTTGTAGCGATAGTGTTATTATTCATATTGTGGCATGTAGATCCATTGCTGGTCAATGAGCACAAGATAAGAAAATATACAACAGCGTTACTGAGTAATGGCAAAAGTGGGACAGTTAGTTGAGAGTCGACAGTCGGAGCAATCAGTTAGTTATGAGACAGAAGGTGAGCACAGAAGCAGAGGACATTGTTGGGTTCCGTCATCAGTCAATGAGTGGTGAAGACACAGCAAACTGAGAAGACTTTATGTGTGCTGTAGTTACAGTGATCTCTGGAGTGCGTAACTCAGTGAGACTGTTGTAGTTATCTGTAGTTACGTTCTGTAAGTGCTCAATACTCATAAATCCCATTACCAATCCAAATCCCACCTATAGTCACTCTAAAATGGTGACAATATTTACTTACTCTCCCAGAGTCCCCCCTTGCTTATGCTTCAGGTATTTCCAAAGTGGGTGTGCATTATTTCCATTTACATCAATCTTCTCAAACATGTCAAACTTTGCGTTCTTAGACCTGGCAAAGCACACAATCTCCTCTGAGTTTCCAGGTTCCTGCAACATATCATAATAGAACCTTCAGACTATCTACACTGTGAATACTGTCATCATCTATCACCAGGAATCTAGGAAAGGAATGCAGTTAACAACCTGCCGCGTCCTCTTGCACTATTCACGCAGTCCCACCCCACACCCTTGTTTTCGCATAAAACCCACGCTCCTCTTGCAGCCCGGGGTCGTATTCTTCCAGGACAGTCACATCAGCAAGTAGAGAAAGTGAGGGTGGGCAGACACATCGAACTTTCCCACGATATCAGAGAAATTCAGGAATGAAAATGACGTTACATATGAGGTTGATGCATTTGTGCATTTCGTACTAAGCAAGGTATAAAAAACATCTTGGAGATGGGTACCAATATTTTGAAGGAACTCCACATTTATATACATTTACTACTGTGTCCATCTTCAGGATCCAAAGATGGAGGCACTATGTTGATACCCACCTACCAGACTACTGAATATCATAATCCATCTTCACTGTTATGAACACAACTTATCTTAATTCACTGCAAATATTTAGACATCATAATGGAACTTGTGACAGTCACTTTCAACATTAGACAGATTCATTCCAAACTGAGAGATGATATTTTAATTTAATGTCTCTATGTTACTTAAAAATACATGAACTCTTTGTCCACATGTTACATACTTCCTCCTACAGTTAAATTTACTGGTAAGTAAGAAACAATAACTAGCTTAACTGTCAGGAGACAAGTATTAAGATACAAAAATGTAACTAAAGTTGGGTCAGAAGAAGAACAAATTCATACTCTCCCACATCTTCATGGCTAGCAGCTACTTCCCTTTGCATGCCTGCCCCAACCCATCAACAGTCACTTGTATTCTGTATTCTAGCTACTGTTCCATCTCTCGTGTGCACAGAGAAATGGGCAATGTAGGCAGGATGAGGTAGGAAGCTATGACCTCAACCCACACCATCTGACTTCATTCTTGCATGACCCAAATGTAAAAAAGTAAAGTAAAAGTATCCCTGTAAGAGGCCGTGGAGGCCCATAGGGTTGTGAGATGTTGAGGTTCCCACATTTTCTAGACAATCAGTTCACGGATGGCGGTAAGTTTGTCAGCCTTACGTGCCGACTACCCTTTACCCCCAAGAACATTCCAAGAATATTCCTGGTACTCATTTCTGTTAGAGGCTGAGTCAACCCCAGGGCCATAGTGTGGCTGGAAGGATTAGGTCAATTGAAAAAATTAAATGACCTCATCCGGATTCCATCCCAAAACCTTCTGGCTTGTAGCATAGTGCCTCAACCAATTATGCTACCGCATGCCCCGACCCAAATGTAGTATCTACATTTAAGAAAATTTAAGTCTGCTGTCATGGATATATTCACTACTGCATACTGCTAATACTTCAATTGGCCTTACCTGCCCATTGAACTGGTTGCAAGGGAAAGCCAATATGCGGAGACCTTTGGATTCAGCATACTTGTCATGAAGTTCTGCCAATTCCTTGTAATTTGTAGCAGTGAGGCCACACTTTGAGGCCACATTCACAATAATAGCCACATGTCCTCTAGAATATAATAGTTTTCATTAGATTTCCAACCTGTATTATAATCAGATATTAATATGAAATTGATGTATTGTGATACAAATTTAAAAAAGTACAGAAATATCACAGTCTGCAGGTAAGTGATAATGGCTCAGGTATAAATTCTGAACACTCAGAAGAAAGAAACTGTTGCAGCAGCTGGGTCAAGAAAGCTATGAGGGCCCAAAACTGAGTACACATGGGAAATTTAGAATTTTATTGGGACATCATTGTAGTTTATCAATGTCACTCAGAACTTCTAGGATAGTGAGAAGATAACTATGGAGTAGAAGCTCCTGGAATTTGAAAGATAACACAATTTAGATGGATTTTGGCTGTGCCATAGCTCAAGCGGTTAGTCGCTGGCTTCATACCGGGGAGGCCCAGGTTCAATCCCAGGTCTGGTTAAGTGGGATTTGTGGTGGACAAAGTGGCGCTGGGGCAGGTTTTCTCCGAGGACTTCGGTTCCCCTACCAATCTTCATTCCATCAATTGCTCCATAATCACCCTCACCTATCATCTGGGGCTGGTACAATAGGCCAGAAGTGGCCACAGTACAAGGGACTTAGTCCCACCCCACTAGCAATAAAAAAAATAGATGGATTTTAGGAACACAGGTGATGGGAGGTGGATGGAACTGCGTAAGGATTATGTCCATCAACAGACTGTGGTATCAGTTGTACTGAACACTCAGACTGAACACCGGAGAGAAAATGTTAGTCTTTAGAATTCAAAATCCTGGACAGTATAACCTACTTGTATTTCTCCAAGGATACATCTTGCCCATTTATATCTTTTACAGTGAAATCATAAATAGATGATGCATTTTTCCAATCTTCTGGAGTTGTTGCCTGAAAATGAATTGAAGCAGAACATTAAAAAGGTGCAGGAAGACACATCAAGACCAAATAATTATATACCTGAATAGAACATAGTTCTGAAATTCACATCCTGCTGTTGGACTATTTTTAAATCATAACTGAGGTTTCTCTCAGTGGAGAAAACTGTATATTGATTACCTGCCAGTAAGTTATATAATAATAGTCATATATGAAAAATGTTGCACTAAGGTGTCTTGTTTTGTATGTCCCCTTTGAAAATTCCATAAATCAAATTTTCTTCTGTTTCTTATAGAATTGCTTTTATGCAGTGGCATCAGCTTGACGTGTAAAAATGAACAGTGCTGTGTATAGCAGACACTAGTATAGTAGAAGTTCTCCAATATTTCGGTGGAATGTACTGCCTCCATCATCAGGATTGAAGGGTAAGCCAAGCAAGCAGCAAGCAGAGTACTCTGCTTGTTGGGTGTTCTCTCTGCTTACTCTTTGACCCTGAAGATGGAGGGACTACATTCCTCTTAAACATTAATAATCTTCTATCAAACTATACAGTGTTACATTCCAGCAGGTTCTTAGTCACTACAGCAAAAACCTCAAACTTCACACTGTAAATGAAGTTTACTTGCCAAGAATCTTCAATTTCAAACCTTTGCCTCTGAACGAATTGCAGTCTGCTACTGATCAAGATAAGTTAATGTTTTCATGGCACAGGATGAACAAACGATTCTTATACACAGTATATAAAGGGGCAATACTCACCATGACTGGTGCTGATCGTGTGGACAAGAGGCGCAGAGCACAGATTGCAGTACCAAATAACTGCAGTCCTGGAACCAGCATTTTGAAATAAAGACCACCTGCTTAATGTTATATGTGGGCACAAATTATGTCCTAGAGAAGACAAGAAAACACCTGTTTCTCTCTGTGTATTTATTTAGTGTTCATCATTAGTAGCAAACAATCCAAGACAACTAACTACATAGTTATTCACAGAAGAGACACAGGTGCAAACTAAAAGCAGGGTGAATGGCATTAATACAAAATGTAATATAAAATGTTTATTTTATAGTGAGTATAATGTTTTCCCACATACATATTTCAAAGTCAGGGATCATAAAACAGACTTTCTTTACAAATGGGCTCAATTTTATGTACTTTCTGGACATGTAATGGCACAAGAAGCTCATCTCACAAAAAATTAACACTAATACAGTTTTTATTAAAGTGGGAGCTGTGAGCTACCAAAACTGGGACAATAATATAGTTGCTGAATGAATTTTAATCCCAAAGGGCAACATTAAGTTCAGCAGTAACTATATTCTGAAACTGCTAATATATTTTAAGTAGTTTTTATAGGTTAGGGTTCTGAAAACTCTGTAATCAGACTATAAATATGGGAAACACTACATAACACTATCTTCCTCCACAAAATATCTTTTGAAAAGATACGAGCCAGATCAATCCAATCCATCCCATCTTATCTCTCTTAAGTTCCATTTTAATATTGTCCACCAACCTACGCCTTAGTCTTCCCAGTTGTCTCTTTCCATCTGGCTTTCCCACAAATATCCTATATGCATTCCGCTTCGCCCTCATTTGTGCTACATGCCCTGCCCATCTCAACCTCTTTGACTTCATCATTCTAATTATATTTGGAGAAGAAGTTCCTCATCATGCAGTTTTCTCCAACCTCCTGTTACTTCATCTCTCTTTGGGACAAATATTCTCCTCAGCACCCTGTTCTCAAACACCCTCAGTCTAATATATTTCGGCATCCTGTTGCATTGTGGCATCATTTTTGATCGCTAAGTATACTGTCTATAATGCAACAATAATCTTATATAAAAGACACTCAAAATATATTTAATACACTTAACGTGCTTGCTCAGTACTTTAAAATGTCATTAAACTTATACATGCATTCCTTGTGGCAACATGTTTTGGCCATACATGGACCAACATCAGGCAACATTTTTGTTCCTGGGGAGACCACTGCACTGTACACTTTGTCTTCTGTGCCCTTAGGCACATTGTTGTTTTTGTTATTTGTTTCTTTCATAGACTATTTCCACTGTATCTTTTCTGGCGGCTATTTCAGTGTTTTTATCTCATTTTCTTTATTGTGTATGCTTTTTGTGCTGTCTTCCTTTATAACACACTTCTAACATTCTAAGTTCTTAATCTCATATCCATTTTCTTTTGCTTAGGTCGTTTATCCACAGAATCCATCTAGGGCAGAGGCTACTTGAACATTTTTTGTAACAAGCTTATTTTTTACAGTGAGGATTTGTTAGCCCCATGCCCAACCCCCAAGCTGGAGGCCCACCCCTTGTCAGCTGTCTGTGACTGCTTATTTAATATATCCACAGCTACCCTCCATTCCTGGAGGGAGTCTTTTCCATCTGCAACCCGAGGACGCACTATGTCATGGTGACAAGGGACCCACCTAACATGGGATTTATCTTACTCTGTATTGTAATGAGTTAATAAGTCACGGCAACTTCACATAAAATTACAAAAATCAGACAAAATTTAGTGAAAACAAACACTCATCCTGTAACATGTTAAGGTTCTTATGATAGTGAACGTACAGATTAGTATCTTGTTGGATCTGACAGTGTTGCATCTCACAGAAAGTCACTAACATTTCAGAGGAATCTCTTACCTGTCTTCAGATTGAAGATGAAGGTAGCAGTTCCTCTTAAAGAGTGGCAACTTCCTACCAGACTATATGGCATCACATCCCAGAACACAACACATGAATAAGTTAAAAAAATGCCAAATTAACATAACATGTTAAACTGTCCACAGTGCTCTTGTGACAGCTAATCCAAACTATACGTCTGCCACCACTTACAAACTTGCCTCATTCATGAGAAGTTACATCTCAATGCCATGCAGAGCAACATTTCAAATGTGTACATAAACACACAATTCAATGTGCACACACAGACAGAAGAGCACAGTTGGTGTTGGCTCAGTCTGACACTCTTCTGTACATTAAAATGCGGAACCAATGCATTCATGATCTATTATATAGTTGCAAGTTTGTATTTAGACAACCTTCATACCAAAGTGCCACATAAAACAATATTTCCACTTAAAATGTAACGAAACTTTATAAAAAATGACAAGATCGCCAAATATACTGCATTCTTAACAAAAAAAAAAAACATAAGAAATTTCTACACCACAGCCAATAGATAACAAATGCAGTACAGCCTTTTGGTGGCCCAAGTTCTGGCAGAAAAGCCCAACAATTTTCCCACCATGGCAGGTCAAACAACCAACAAAGTATGGGTTTGTTTCACAACTGTGCTGTCTAGAAAACTCACTGTAACCTTTGGAAAGTTTGATCTAGAAGCACACAGTCAAGTGATCACAGACCTCGAAAATACGAAGTCCATCAATGATACTGCATATTTGCATCTAAGAAATATTCTGTTGGTATAAAATTACTGTATTAAATTAGCATTAATGTCATTTCATTACTGCAGTCAGTGTTAACAAATATTCAACAAATTTTGTACTTAAATTCATTTTTTTTTTATTCACTTAGTGGTTGGCCTATTGTAGCCTGCCCCGGGTGATTAGGATGGAGAATTTGGTGGAATGAAGATTGACAGGGGAAACCGAAGTACTTGGGAGAAAAGCCGCCCCAGCGCCACTTTGCCCACCACAAATCCCACTTGGCCAGACCTGGGATTGAACCCGGGCCACCGTGGTGGGAAGCTAGCAACTAACCACTTGAGCTATGGCGCTGCCCAATTTTGTACTTGGACTAGAAACCAAATAGACACTACAACTGTAATGGGGGCAGGCACTATGCTACAAGCCGGAAGGTCATGGGTTAAAGTCCTGATGAGGTCATTGGATTTTTTCCAATTGACCTAATCCTTCCAGCTGCACTACGACCCTGAGGACGACTCAGCCTCTAACAGAAATGAGTACCAGGGCGGCCAGCGCGTAAGGCTGACAACCTTGCCACCATCTATGAGACGACTGTCTAGAAAGTGTGGGAACCTCAACATCTCACAACCCTATGGGCCTCCACGGCCTGTTTCAGGGATACCTTTACTTACTTTTTTTTACTACAACTGTAACCTCTATCTAAAGTATCTCCAAAGGTTTGTCATACTTTGAACAGACATCCTTACATAACACAAAATCTCTGTGTTCAATGTGATTTGTGGTATGGTGATTCTGGTTCCCACTCTAAGCTGAAAACATAACCCAGTAACTTTCTAATTTTAATTATACAATCTCAAATCCATTTTAGACAGACAGCAATATGGAGCCTAGACATCGTTCAGTGGCTGGCTATGGGCTAAATAGCCCATTATCAACAGGGCCAGAGAATTTTCTTTTTTCCACCAGCTCTGGGGTGCAGCCCACAACCTAGTCAATGGGCAATGGGAGCTCTTTCTCAGAAGTAAACTGGTCAGAGAATAAGCTTACCACTCACCTGAAAATGTTGCTAAGGTTTATGAATGCATTAAATTTTAATCTTATGCTCCTCATACGCCTCTATGGTATGGTACTGAAGCACAAGGAGCCCTTTACTTTTCACCTTTCTGACATCATCAGATTGGTGGACCAACATAACCTCAACAAATAGGTACAACCCCGTTTTACACAGCTTTGAGTAGACACTGTCACTATCGGTCACTATTTACCTTGGTTCCTAATGTATACGTAAATTCTGTAAGTAGCTCGGAGTTACATACACCTTCTCTACTGAAATCCAAGAAATACCTGCCTACGGAACAATCGATAACAACTCTGCAGCACTTCTCCCCTCCCTCTACTAAGTGTCATTACTTGCTAGTCATGATGTATAAATATTTAACGAATTTTTTTTACTTGCCTTGCTAACTGATTTCCACTCTTATTCCCAAACTGTCGCCCGCTTTACCTTATGACGAACCACGGGACTGTGCCCTTCTACCGTCAAACAATAAGGATCGTAACGATAACTTATTCGCACCAAACCAAAATAAGCACATACCTTGCTTGTTGACCTTGTTGACCTTCACTCTTATTCCTTGAGAGACAAGTCAGTGATTCGAACAACAGAAAACCTAATGCGCCTAATTGTTACAATGACTATGCCTTTTGAGCCGTCACATGCGGTCACATGCTTAATCACCGTGGATTATCAGCAAAGGGAAGAGTATTGGTAGATATGGAAACTGTATAACCGCAGCAACCAGAGGAGGGACGGCAGTGTCTTATTTTCACTTCTAAGCTTGCTTTCGCACGAACACTGTAGTATAACGCTAAGTCACTTCATAACAGATCGACGGGTTGGACGACCGGTGTTTGATCCCCGGCAGGAGTATTTTTCGCTTAGTGGGGAGTGGAGTCCAGCTGGGTCCACTCGGCACGGCGGCAACTGATTGGCCTATTGTATCCTGCCCCGGGTGATTATGATGATGGAGAATTTGGTGGAATGAAGATTGGCAGGGGAAACCGAAGTACTCGGAGAAAACCAGCCCCCGCGCCACTTTGTCCACCACAAATCCCACTTGACCAGACCCTGGATTGAACCCGGGCCGCCGCGGTGGGAAGCCAGCGATTCTCGGCTGGAGTAAGAGATGTGTCTTGTATTCCCAAGCGTCCAGACAGATTTGGAGCCCACCTAGCCCCTTATTCAAAGGTTTTTTTTTATTGCTAGTGGGGTGGGACTAAGTCCCTTGTACTGCGGCCACTTCTGGCCTATTGTACCAGCCCCAGATGATAGATGAGGGTGATTGTGGAGCAATTGGTGGAATGAAGATTGGCAGGGGAAACCGAAGTACTCGGAGAAAACCTGCTCCAACGCCACTTTGTCCACCACAAATCTCACTTGACCAGACCCGGGCTCGAATATTCAAAGGTTACCGCGGACTCTTTCCCTGGGGGTAGAGCGGCCGGGGCTAAATTTAATTAATGTTATAATTTTAAATCTCCCAGTAATTTTCTATTTTATGTCGATGTTTTTAATAACAATGTCTGTATATGTAGTTACTATAGGATTCTGACGATGGTGTATAACACGCTGATATGTTGGGTTTTTGGCCTTTATCCATCGTCCTGGTTTTTAAGATAACAAATAAAAACAGCTAGCTCTTTCTAAGGGACCCAACTGAATACGTGTTTTCCTTCACCTGAGGACGGAAACAGATCCAGTTTCCGAAACGTCGTGTTTTTATTTGTTATCTTAAAAACCAGGACGATGGATAAAGTCCAAAAACCCAACATATCAACGTCTGTATATCTTTTCTCATATCCTGCCGTAATTTCACGACGTACCTAACAAAGTTTAACACCTTCGCATTGCCAAGCAATTCTGTCTTTTGTAAATTAACCTCCCCCTAAATAATATCAGGTGTCAGAAGACCACACTGTCACTATCATTGGCCTTGAATTTAGGTTACATTTACGTCAACCCTGAATATGGTGGTCAGTTTCGACATAAGTGACATTTCGCACTTAGGCCAGTAGTGCAAGTACCGTTTGTTTTCCTGAAGATACCAGTTACGCATTTTTATTTACATAGATGACCTACCGATGCTACTGATTTTTAATTAGAATCGTTACAGCTGTTTTCGAGAAAATCACCGTTTCGTTTAGGGGCACCCATTTGAAGGGTCCATATTTTTGTAGCTAGAATCCTCATATTCATTGGGAACCATCCTAGGGTGGCTCAACTCCTGAACGCCATATATGCACCAAATACGTACAGCCGTTCAGGCGGTATGGATACGCACGTACAGATAACCAGACGGACAGCATACCAGAAACTAGTTTTCTTATGAGCAAGTAAAAATAGACAGAAAATTGCTAGGTAAGGGTGTGCCTCTTCTTCCCTTGCTAGTATATTCTTACCCCGTCTTTGCCACAAACCCAGGTGACATATTCACAAGCGTAGGAGTCTCACATTTTTTTTGTGAGGGTAAACGGCATCTCTATTAAAAGTTTATGAAGACCTTAGCTCGATTTTTCGATTAGCGTGCCGCTAGAATCAATTGTGCGGCAAGGTGAATTCTCGAGGTGATGTCAAATAGGCACTAAAATATTCAACAAGCAACAACTGAATCATTGACAGGTACCTTAATTCTTTGGAATATGAATTAAGGTGGTGCTGGGTTCATTCGTTTGGCATACAGCTAGTTATTAATATTTCGTACACGAGTATTGATATTATTGCAAATTATCAAATATTTAAGTCTCGAACGCATTTTGGGCTCGAGATCGTAACGAAAAGTTGGAAAAATCCAGTTTTTGGTTTTGCAATGCGCCTCCGCACGCATGTAACAATGTGCGTGTCTCTGGACGGGTTCGCGTGTTTTTTCTCAAATTTATCGAAACATTAAAACTTTAGTTAAAATCAGACAACTTGCATGAATACGTGCATACGTTTCTGTGCGTATTTCATAAGCGTAACTCGCTAAGCATTTATCGCAGCGGGAAAGATCTCGAACAAAAGTTGCTGAGAAAAGCGAAATACCGTAAAATTGTTCTTGCGAATAATTAGATATGAAATCAACAAGCCGCATGGAGGGGTGGAGGTATCCTATAGCTTCACTCATTCTTAACCTCGGCAGCTTCCCGCCAAATAAAGGAAATGTGAAGATTTTCTTCAGTTTGATTCAGTACGGCCCCATGAAGATGCATGGGGGAGTGGAGGTATAGGTCCGCGAATTCTTTGCCTGAGTAACTAGATGGGTACGTCATCCTATGGATTTGTTGACAAAGTTATACACACCACTTGGAACTACCAGTAATTACAGCCCTATCGCTGATCTGCGCACTTTACAAATCACTAGCATACGTTATGTCTTCTCAGTCTTTATTAGTCGTAACCAGGAAACGGATTTTAACACAGTAATTATAACGGCCTTACTGTAACTACAGATTGCATAAAGCCTTCTTTTCACAGCCGCTCTCTTGCAACTAACTCTTTTCTTCACAGCCGCCCTTTCAACTCTTAACTGGATCGTCAAAGCCACATTGCGAGTGACGGTCAGTCAGTCAGTCTTGGTGTCGAGCCCCATTTGGGGCTCATGACCAGATATTGATTACTGTTTGACAGTTACATTCATGTTATTGTGGGGCGTCCTTTCTGGCGATAGGACGGGTCTGTCTTTTGGCAGAGTCATTGTCTGCAGTAATAAGTCATTTGTCACACTGTAAAAGATATTTACATTTTACATGTTAAACGTGTTAAAATGTATATACAATATATACAGGACCTCTATCAGTCCAGGGTCAGTACAACAGATTTTTCCTTGTTTCTAGTAGGTTCCGTTACAATGGCAGTTTCCCCAATAGTCTTCCTCATAAACACTTTGCACGGACCGAACAGAAAACACCGTTTCAAACACTGCGCTATTGTAGATGCGTGTTTACTGATTTGTTTCATAGAAACGGGTAGCATCGCCGTTGTTCTGTGGTTGCTTGTGTGTATGTAGCGTGCGTTACTTAACAGCGGTTGCTTTTCAGAGAGTAACCGCTTAGCAACGGGTCTATAGGCCACAAAATTTAGTAAATTCTTTTAAAAAGTTAGATTTTCTATCATCTAAACAGTGCAAACCAATATCGATAAGAGACCAAGAATAATAAGTAAACAACTCAATTAAACGGAATTACTACATCCTTGTTTACTTATTAATAAATTTATAAATTAAATAAGAGTATATTTGGGGGTTCCCTAGGCCAGAGGACTGGAGAAAATTGCCCCAATGCCCACCTTCATATGGTCCTGCCTGATATCCTTTGGATTGGAGGTTGCGTGGGCCCAAGAGCTGGTCTGAACGCTGTGAAGGAGATAAAATCTCTGTTCCTGTCGGAAATCGAACCCCCGGCTCCTCAAGTGTTCACCTTACTCGTATAGCCTAGTCACTACACAATCTGACCGGAATACTCGACTCTGACTGAGACTTTACTTTCAGAATGAAACTGTTTGCTTCAGTACTTTCGAAAGTAAACTGAGGTGCATTTGTTCCTGCCAGTGAATATCTGACTTACGACATCCGATACAGAGGAACTTGTGTTTGATTCTCGGCTGATCTAAGGGCCAAAGAATATGCCTCCAACTGCGTCGAGCGCAACTAACCGTAACAGTAACAGTAACAGTAAGGGCGCTTTTCCACGGGGCGTGACACGCTAGCGTGAGGCAGGTATTCGTGAGTACGACCCATGTGAACGAAGCGTCGTGGAAATTCTTATGACGTTACAGGCAAGAGTGAGGGCTCACGCTTCATATCAGACATGTTTGATTTTCAGTCGTGAGTTTGCCTCTACCATGTCTACACCCGATCGGGTCATAAAATTATAAGAAAGGGAAACGCGTTCCAGAAGGAAATCAAATTGGTCTTCAGACAATCGTAGTAAGTTCTTGAAATCATCTGGGTAACTATTTCTGAGTTCCATGTCAACCAAATTATATGGCCCTAATTTCCTATTTAGAATCCACTTCCTAATCCAATATCGCCTTTTCTTCCGTTTTCCTTTCATTTCCACCATCTGATTCATTCTCTGCGCTAAAATAGCAGCAAAAACTGAACTCACAACAGCACAACTTTCTATGAGGAGCTCGTTCATGGTCGGCTTTCCGCGATCAACTGAATCACGTCTTCGTAGACACTTCAGCCAGTGTGAACTACTCACGACCCACGACTGGTGGGTTCACGCCTGCAAATTCACGAAAGCAAGTACGAAAGCGTTGCACGCTTTCGTATCCACACCCCGTGGGAACGTAGCATAAGAGTGGCTGTAACAGTGACTGTCGTGGAAACTATAGAGCGATCCAGAAATATGCACGCAACTTTGAAAAAAAGTTTTTTTTAATGCAACTGACCAATAAGTTTTTCACGAGTACATTAAAGAACATAATGATTTTATATGTCCTTGTTTAAATAATTTCGAGTGTAACAAAGGCGCACGGGCAGCGCAAGTAGAATGTGCAGTAACTGTACTCTAATCGCACACAAATATATAGAGAGACGGGAAACAGAAAGAATTAGAAAGAAAGCAGTAAACCTGGGGGAAGTCAGGCCTAGATGCAGATCCGGGAGGCCGGCGCAGGCTTCGGTGGTGGAGAGCGAGTCCGCGCTAATATAAATTTGTATTTTTCTATTATTTTTTCTTTTTCGTTTTTGGCGGCCGCGTATGTTTGAATGCGCTCATGATGAGACTCAGCTGTATTACCCAAAACTTTATAGAAGAAATTGCGCTCAAATTAAGGAATTAGAATTTACTTATATAATCTTATGAGGAGCCGGAATAGCGACTGGCTACTGGCTGGACGACCGAGGGGTCGCAATTCGAGTCTCGGTAGGGTCAAGAATTTTCTCTTCTCCATGTCGTCCAAACCGGCTCTGGGGCCCACAAACCCTCTTACCCGTTGAGTGTTGGGTAGAGCGGCAGGGGCGAGAGGCTGTCCACTCACCTCCAGTTAGTGCTGAGGTCCAGAAAATGTGGACCTATACATCCACTCTCTCATACGCCTTCATAGCGTAGTGCTTAATTAGTCAAGTACAGGGCAACTTTACCTTTTATATGTATAATTTTAAGAGGGAGATTTGGAATCAGAATTCGAATCGCTTCTAAAAATACTATCTCAATATTTGCACAATAGCAGTGGCTACCATATGCACTGATAGGAGTACGGAGTCCATTTTGTTATATCATTGGCTGTTCGTTATTAGATTCGCGGTAGGAAATAGGAAAACTTTATTGTTGTAGGTACTATAATTATTTGCATTCCTCGTCCAATATTCACAAGTTAATTAAATCAAGAATGAGAGGCGGGTCCTAGTGGATGCATCAAGAAGCTTAAATTCACGTTTGTCTCATCTGTGTACAGGCACCGAGAGAAAAAAATAAAAACAAACATGACTCAGACGATCGGACGATAACGAATCGAGCCGCGAACAAAACACGAACTTGCACCATTGATCACTGCCCCCAGAGGACTTTTAACTAAACATAAACATAGTCAGATCACCAGATGTCGGTAACATCCGTGTGACATCATCAGTCACGCAGCCCTCTGGGGCGTGCATTCTGTGACCGGCTGTCAGAGTGATTGGTGCTTCCGTCTGGACAAGAACCCAGTACTTACAGCTTAAATCGGCGGGTGAGTATAATGTCATTAGACGAGTGGTCATGTACAGAATGTAAGTGGCTCATTGGTTACTGAGAAGGGGCCGAACTCCTGACAATCCAAGCAGTCGAAGATTTTTATAGAGGGACCTTGGGAGCTGTTGTGTTGAGTATAAATCCATGAACTTCTTTGACATGCAGAACATATAATATTAACGGCTTAGTAAAGAGGACGATTTCCTTTCGACTCTGTTTTGAGGTACCCAGTTCCAAAGTGCTGGAGTAGGCTATCTTGTTTAATGGCGCACCGGTAGGCTGTATGATTTCAAAGTCGAACAGTTCTGAGTGTAGAGAAATGTTACCTGATTTGAATAACACGAAATCCTACTAGCTGTAGAAACAATTTTAGCAGTCAGTTTTAGTGACTTGCAGTGCCTTAATGGCATTTTATGATATTTAACAAAATTTTAAAGCATTAAAGTTACACAATTTAATGAAAAAATATATGTTTTAGATGTCTTTTACATCAGTGTTGCATTATTGACGGTGTACTTGAATAATAATAATAATAATAATAATAATAATAATAATAAATTTAGCAGGATTAGTATACAGAACGTCAACACACGAACTACGAGAATAACGAATGTGTTTAACTTAACAAAAAGTGAGTTAAGAGGCATCTAGTTGCTACCGAACTGTACCTCGTGTAGAGAAACGATTGCGAGCCATGTAGCTGACAGGCAACTGTTGGCCCACAGAGATTGACCTCGTCGCGATTGGTAGTGATGCCTGTTGGACGTACCCGCGGTAGCGACGCTGAATATTGCAGTCTTCTGAAATGTGACATCGTGTAGTATGATACTCATACAGATATACGAACGTTTCGGAGGAATATATTGCCTCTGTGTTCAGGGTACAATATACAGGAAGCAATTTTTTCCAGAACATATCTGCCGAACTACATGTCGCCGCACCTCAGAAGACAGCCCCCAGTCTACATGGTGCATGTTATTTGTAGCACTAGGATTGTTGTACACCCATATATGGAAACTAGCACCACAGCCCTAATCATATATAATAGCTTTGTCTATAACAGGCAGAGACCGCATTTCACGTATTTTCCCTTCGAAAAGGGCAGCACAGCGGTAACGCTCGGGCCGGTTCTCAGTCAGGACACAAATTATTCTGGTTTCTCGTGGTTTATTTCAGTCCCTCCAAACAAATTGCGGGATAGTACGTTGATGAAGCCAGGACGGCCTCCTTGCAAATCCTCTGCATGTCGTCATTCATGTATGTACAGGCTGCCCCAGGAGGAAAGGTCAATATTCCGGGAGGTCACAGTATCGCTCATTCTAAGCAAGAAAGTGTATATGTTCATGTGTCCTATTCCGAACGGTTTCCGAGATACAGCTATTTCGCTGTACAGACGAGCAACACGCCATGTCCTCACACGAGTTGCAAAGTGCATTCATGTTGACGGTGGAATTTTCCAAAATGTAAACTGTACCAACTTGGTCACTTGAACAGTAAATACCGGTATTAGAAACAGTACGTAATTATCTCTTTCTTATCAACAGTTTTGGGAACTGTACAGCGAAATAACTCTATCTCGGAAACCGGGCGGAATAGGACACATGTACATACACATTTGTTTTTGACCGATACCGTGACCTTTGAGAATACTGACCCTTCCTCTTGGGACACTCTGTATACATGTAGTCTAGCAACTGGTAGAATCATAAACTAGAGCACAAACGAGCATGTCCCTCACACAGTCACTGTGGCTCAGGAATTGGTCTGAACTTGGAACATGGCTTCATGCTGTCAGTCGAGGACTGGATGTGAACGTCGGGTTCAGCATACTCCATGCTGGTGAAGACAATACGCAGCCTACTCTGCTGCTATAATGTCTGTCGTAATTTAGAAACCAATTTGCTCCATTCTCGTGCCGAAGCTCACGACTGGTCAGTTCACTGGGTTGCATCCTCCAACATGATAACTGCTGTGGTCTGATGGCCGAGATAATCCTCAAGGACACTCCATTGCAAGTGGTAAACAAACGAGTTGCGCTGTACGTGGAGGATATGAAGAATGGATCCATACATCCATTAGACCCATGCAGGTGAGCGACTAGCCTGACTAATCCAGCAGTGGCGGAATCTCTCAGTACTAATCACCCGAACGCCTGCACATTTCCCTGAAACAGCCCACGACCACTTCATTATACCAATCATCATTTATTAGGCTTTTAACAAACGAACAGCTTCGTGTTCGGGAGGTTCCGGGTTCGACTTTCGGTCCGGTGGTTCTAGTATATGAAGCCAGATTTATCACAGATTTCCTCAATACCTCCAGACACGCCGAGAGACTGCCTTGAAGTAAGCTTCCTTCCAGATCATTCCGAATTAGGTATTCACATTATCACCCAATTGACGGCATTACAATCCATGCAATCGCAAAATCGTCAAATAGGATCACGGAACAGGTTAGTCTAGCGGTACCGTTCTAGACTTGTATTCGGGAGGTGCTGAGGTCGAATCTCCGCCGGGACATCGAGTATCCCACTAAGGTCGTCCATTGTTTTCTTCTGCGTCTCTAGGCAAAGTCCGGTATACTGCCTTAATTACGCATCTACCGTTTCCTTTCAAATCCTTTCTAATTAATCAATCATTCTACCATCCGACGCTATATATCCTAGTTACTGACTTCATTGTGGAGCTGGGATAGCTCAGTCGGTATAGACACTAGCTACGGCAGAACGGCTGAGGAGTCGGCGTTCGTTTCGTGGCAGGGACATAAATTTATTCTCTCCACACCCTCCCAACCAGCTCTGAGACCCACCCAGCCGACTATCAAATGGGTACTGTGGTAAAAGCGGCCTTGGTGTGCACATAACCACTATAGTTCCGAGGTCAAGAATGTTGGATCTATACCTTCACTCCTCCATACATATTCACGGCGTGATGATGATGAAGCAGGGGTAAACTTTGCTGACAGCATAGTAAACAAACATGCAACTCAACACTATGATTATCTGTGCACTTGAGAAGTAATTCAGTGATCAGATCCACATTTTAAACAGGGTGTTTAGATAACGTAATGAATCCATGTAAGCAGCGCCTGGAATGCATGTTACGAGATAAGGAGCCGCCATTGATGGCACGTTAGATCACCCCGTGACCCCTGTCCATTTGTTTGAGGTCACTGACTGTGAGTCAGCAGTATAAATACTGTAATGTCAGGGACTGGACCTGTGTATTCTGGATCCGCTGTGAGCACACGCCTCACTCCAGCATGGCCCCAGTTCTTTCGGGCCGCCACTGCCCTCATCCTCACTGATTTCATTCATCACGCAGTTGATGAGGTGTCGCATCATAATTACAGTAAACCCTCTCTAATCCGGTTACATGAAAAATGCTGTTCACAGTTTCGTACGCGCTGTAAACTAAACGTGACGTTCGGGAAGGCAGCTGAGTCACTTGTCTATGCAGACACAACTGGACAGTTTCTTCAGGCCTGCAAGATTACGTTCAGAAATAAGTACAGCTTCCGAGTCTTATACGGCGAGAAAAGGCAACTCTATCCCTGTTAACAGGCCGTGGAGGCCCACAGGGTTGTGAGACGTCGAGGCTCCCACAATTTTTGGACAATCGGCTCACAAATGGCGGTGAGATTACCAGTCTTTTGCGCCCTTTACTCCCAGGAAGATTCCTGGTACTCATTTGTGTTAGAGGCTGACTCAACCCCTGGGCCATAGTGCAGCCGGAAGCATTAGGTCAATTGAAACATTCACTGACCTCATCGGGAATCTAACCCTCGACCTTCCGGCTTGTAGAATAGTGCCTCAACCGTGCTACCACGTGCTCCTTATGAGTCGTCTATCGATGAATAAATGTAATTTTTTATAGTTTTCAAATACTACTTTTTGTCTTTTAGGGCTACTTTTGGGTCACTAATCCGGATTATCGCATAACCGCACGACCTCCCCCCAGTTAATCCAGATTAGCGAATGTTTACTATAGCAGTTTCGTAATTTGGCGTTCCTGCGGGGCAGTTCATCTAAATGACAAAGATCGAATAGTAAGTGGCCGTGGTCTGTTATATTTTGACGCCCGAGCATTTTCCGAGCCGTCCTGTACTGCGGGTGCCATCATCAGGCGTGTAAGCACTCTATTGTCCAGGCGTGTAAGCACTCTATTGTCGTGTTAAAGACTACGCCGAAATTCACTTCCGTGCCCACCATACACTTCCGTTGCGTACTGAAGTGATGTTATTGCATTTGCTTTGCGATGGTGGCCAGTGAAGTTGCTACTGTCCCTGTAAAGGCAGGCATTAATAAACATGCATAATGGCGTATGGTGGAGTGCAGGTATAGCTCCATCATTCTTGACCTCTGCACTAGATGGAGCAGAGTGATCAGCTTCACGCCCCTACCGCTTTACTTTCAGGAAAGCAGACCACTGTGCCCATTGTATAGAAGGCTGTGTATACTACAGTACATAGCCGGTCTGGACTCTGTGTATACAAAAATCTTATGCCCTTGACAGGATTCGAACACAGACTCCTAGGCCGTTCAGACCGCAGTCTAGTGTCTATACGGACTGAGCTATCCCGGTTCCCACGTACTTTGTATAACTGTTTAATGGCTGGATATAACTATTTAAAGTACATCGAGAAAAAATGAGATGGGTGGGGTGTGTAGCATGCCTGGAGGAACTGACAAGTGCTTGTGTGGCATTTTGTGGAACTTAGAGGGAATAAACTTCTTGAGAAAAGGAGCCTGGTTAGCCTATTCAGTACAGTGACTAGGCTACGGGCTGGACGACCGGCTGTCGATTCCCGGAAGTGGCAACAGATTTTTCTGTTCCTCGGTGACCAGACCGGCTCTGGGATTCACCATGCCTCCTATACAGTGTGTACTGGGAGCTGTTAGCCTGGGGGTAAAGCGACAAGGGCATGAAGCTAACCACTCACGTCCGTGTATAGCCGGGTCAAACACTGTGGAGTTGTACCTCCACTCCCTCACATGCCTTCTTCACATAGCGCTTAATTACATAAATAAGTACGGGGATAACTTTACGTTACACTTCTTAAAAAAAACAAAGCATAACACGTGAGGTCTGGGGTTCTCACGGCGGACATTAAGAAAAATTTCGATTTCTTGGATGTTACACCTTGTGGTCTGGTGAATGTTTATCGAAGTTTCGGAGAAATCCGCTGCCTTCATGATGAGGTAGAAGAATAAGAGTATTCTTCTACTTTGAAGATGGAGGCAGCGGATTTCTCCGAAGCATCGCTGAGCGTCTAGAGGCTACGTGGAATCATCGAACAGGACAGTAATCGTCAAATCATATGATGGAGGATAATATTAAGACAGCTATCGGGAAGTTGTGGACTGTAATCAGTTTGCACCGGCTAGTGTCCAGGGACCAGCTGAAGGCGTATAAACTGCTGATGGAATACCCGAGTCAGTCAGTCAGTCAGACATTAAGTTAAAGTGAGGGCACGTGTCAGAGGTCACAACCTCGCCCCTCCCTTCACATAACTGGGAGCTCGAAGCCCCTTGCCGGGATTCAGAAGTTAATTTAGTTTTACTGTCTAATTTCCAGGTCTCCTTTTGGACACCTGTGATAAGCTGTGTTCATACTTCTTGTGTCACGCGGTCGCCATGATCAGCACAGAGAATATGCCACCAAGGACACCCGTAAGTATTGCATTTGGTATGCCTTGCAGACGTAGAGGTGGAACTCCACCGTGTGAATAATATTGGAATGGTTGGGACGCAAAAGAATGAATGAAACAAGGATGTCTAATGGAAGAACTTCAACCCAAAACACCAAATTCAATTAAAATAAAATAACTATTGGCGGGGGGGGGTTCTTTTTGTTTATATTTGTTAGTTGTTTATTTTCTTGTTGTTGATGTGTTTGCTTGTGTGCTTTCTTAAGTTTTGAAGATACGCCATTTGGTAGAAGGAAACTGGGATGGCTGGGAATGTAGAGAATGATTTATGATCGCTGAAAATGAAAAGGTGGAAGCAAAAGGTAAAATAAAAGACAAAGGGGGGCGTATGTAGCGAAGCAGACTAATGTCTTTAGAGGATGTTATAGCTAATGAAAGTAATCTGTTTCCCTCACGCTCCGGCCGCCTTTATCTCAGAACAAGCTGCGTGTGCTCATTCTAGAGGGCTGTCTTTATTCTCTAGCGTATTTATTTCCTGTGTTTACATTTCTTCTTCTGAAGCCGACCATAAACGACTCCTTAACTCCTTACCGAATCACACCATTCATGACCATTTCATTATGTACCACAAGCCTATATTCAAGCCGTAACTATTCCCACTTGTATTCGGGAGATGGCCGGTTCGAATCTCGCTCGGGACCTACACTTTCCTAACGGAGGATTTCCGTGGTGTTCCCCAGCCTCTTCAACTAAATGCCAAGACAATATCCCAAACTGTGCCACGGACGGCTCCTTCCACATTGCTTCTAACCTTGTCTGGTTGGCTCTGTGTTCCTATAAGAAGGCTGACCTCCTTGAAAACAGATGCACATGCTTCTCTGTTATTTGCCTTTGGTTTCATTTCTTCTTTTCAATAATTCGTCCTACCATTCGACGCTATATACGTAGCGTGACATGAGTGTGTCGTTAAATAAAATAAAATAAATACATAAATAAATAAAATAGAAAACCCATACCTTATAGCAGAACCAATGTGGTTAAGTAATCTACGAATGAAAGCAATCAGCGTAGGAATTGAGGTTCTTACAGCAGTGGTTATGATTTCTGGGATATAATGCCTTGCAGTCCGTACAAAGTCAGCCCGCTTTTAATTCCTCCGAAACGTCGGTTGACTTTCAGTGCACTACGCGGCGTCATATCCCAGAAGAGAGAACTGTTCGTGATAACGTCAAATCGCACATAGAGTTACTGCATGGGGAGACTACTCATCGAAACATTGGCTACGGGTGAACAAGACCAGAAACCTTTGTGGCCTACATTTCCGCTTCAGGTGCAGGGACCTCAGCGCTACTGGTTCTGCTTCCTACCTCCTTCACGCTGGTGTCTCGCTTGGCTTCTTTTTGGAGCCTGAAGACAGGGACTCGAAACTTTAGTGGACTTTCGTCCGATTACACGTTGTTATATCCTAGAAGATAGATCTCTTCAGAAGAATTTATTCTCTGTACTCTCTGTATTTTGCCCTTTATTTCTTCTATATCTCTGCTCTTCATTTGTATCCATTGTCTTTTTCCATGTCGCCTATATCCATTTCCACTGTCTATCTGTTGTATCATACAATGAAGGCACATTTGGGACCATCTGCAGGTGCCCCAGCGAGGACGAGGGCGTTTGGAGCATGTTGGGGAGCAAGTGGCGAGTTGCCCACTGGGGCAGATCTTAATCCGGGGCGCCGACCGGCTTCTGTGGACGGTGGAGGCGTCTGTGCAGTGGTTCGTGGAATCCAAGGAACCTGAGAAGAATGATTCACGTAAGTAAGAAAGGAGGAAGAGAGAGGAAGAGAGCCTATATACTGACCGACGTACCAAATGGACTCGTTCTCATCTCACCCAACTAAATATAAACAAGGGGTGTTTGAGAAGAGAACACCGATTTTTTTTTTTTCCACCTAAGAGGGAGAAATAAAGTGAAGGTTAGAGACAATTTCTTAATGATGAAACTTAATAATTTGTACTCCTCGCCAAATATTATTAAGATTAGCAAATTAAGGAGGCAGAGACAAGCGGAGAACTCGATACGTTTGGGAGAGAAGAGAAATGCGTGGAAATTTCTAGTAGTGAACCTTTGAGGAAAGAAAAACTTGGAAGACAGATGTGAGGATATTACAGCGGATTTAGAAACAGGGCGAGAGTGTGGCTCAGGCTAGGGATCAATAGTGGGCTGCTGTGAAAACAGAAATTAACCTTCGCTTTTCATAAAAGGAGTGGAATTTCCTGAGTAGCTCAGCATCTGTTTGCTCCTCGAGAAGGACTCTGGTCCATGCCGTGTACAATGTGAGGCTACGGGGTACCAGGCCGGCCTCAGGAAGCACGTATACCGCAGTTTCACCGCTGTTGCAGCTCCCGAAACCAGCCCACGGCCCGACTTAGTGCGTCCTCTCCCGTGGATCTTGTTCCTGCCGCTTCTGGTCTGTTTGCGACTGGTCAAGACTGCTGCCGAACTGGTAGCGTCTCTCAGGGGCAGGGAACCGCCACGCCCTCTGCAGGTGGTGCGCTATCTCCGGGTACGGCGCAGGCGTCTGCGCGCTGTTAAGTACCACGGCCTTAGGAACTTCGAGAGTTGGCAGCGAGTGGAGAGGAATAGACAGGTAAGACCTCACGCCTAACCCCCAACGAAGATAACTCACCAGTACAGCGGCAAGACGTTCTTCTGGGCTAGCTGCCATACTTTTGTTCGTCTTTGACGTCAGCATTTCCTTCCGTATACAGAAACCAGTTTTTGAAAGTGTGAGGTTTATCACTGTTTTCTCCATAGCGGTCAGAGGGATTCGTGGGCCCATCCAGCCTCCTAACCAACGGGTACTGGGAGGCGATTTACCTGTGGGTAAAGCGGCAGGGCCGTGAAGCTGTCCACTTACCTCGATCTAGTACCGAGATCAAGAAAGTTGGAGCTATACCTCCACTCTCCCATACGTCTTCAAGGCATAGTGCTTAACTAATTAAGTACATTGACATATTTACCTTTTGCGCAATTTCGAATCTTCGTAGGCACAAATTTTCGAACGTTAACACGTTGCAGGAATGTGAGTTACGTAGCAGCCCCCCCCCGTATGTCGGTATGTTCACTGTTTTATATTACATACAGGAGACGGTTTACGAGTACCTATTCGATTGTATCATTCCTGGGGATGACGTACCGTATCATTTGACAACAGGTGTAACTGCAAAGCAGGGAAAGGTAGCAGCACGAAAGCTTATGTAACTATTGATCAGATTTCTCGTTGAATTCTCAACTACTGTTACACTACAACACTAACATTTACATTCCCTCAGCTGAATTGTTTGTGGCCTTTTTGCACATTGTTACCTGGTTTTCAGGCTGAAGGCGAAAGCTTGGTGCTGAAAGTGTTTTCTGTGGGTCCGCTGGCCAAGCTGGCCACATTCACAGGTCTTGATCGTGTCTTCTCGTTTTTGCGAGGCGCAGCGCCAATCCAGGTAATAGCCACTCAGCTGGTCAGGGAATTCCCAACTCTCGAATGAACCTGAGGATCCATCCACTCCTTTATAAAATCCGGCCCCTGGATCCTATCCACATCCTTGTATCACTTTTCTTAAAGATAAATTTTAATATCATCCTTTCATCTACGTCTGGGTTTCTCAAGTAGGCTCTTTGCTTCAAGTTGACTAAAATTAGTTTGTATGCCGTTTACATCTAATTGATTATGATTTGATCACTGCATTAATAATTTTATTTGGTTAAGAGTACACAGTATGTTTGAATGTTTTTTGGAATTCAATAGCAGAAGTTCTATTCAAATACAGAATATCCATAAATATCTCATATAATTTATTGAAATAATAATAACTTTTATTTTATTTTTAGCAAGACTCAGTTAATATATGCGAACAAGTGACAGTAGTAGGCTTTGAGTTCAAGGGAAGAAGCACAAGGAAACACAGGGAAATTTCACTGGCCTGGACTTACTGACAAATCAGTTCGTGGTTTGCACAATAACAGAATAGGGATTTTATGAACGCTCTGTTTATAAACACCCCCAAATTCAAGTAATATGATTTGTTTCTCTCTGCTTCAGCCAGGAAAGAGAAAGACAGGAGTGGAAGATGATGAATCCTCTGATGACAATGAAGATCTGTTAGAAAAGATAAAACGCATATGCCATAACTACACAAGTGATGAGGACCCAGACTACGAGGTACAGTGATCCATCTGGCCGCTGAAAAGAACTCCAATGCAAGAGAACAATGTGGGGACAATGGCAGCAGGGTGGTCCATGGTGTTGCCCCCTCACTTTTCTAAGTGTCAGGGCACACTCCTGGCATTTTTATTTCAAGTCAGTGGCACCAACCATAGATCAAAATTAATAACAGTTAATTAAAAAAAAATACTGTTTTAAAGTGCTTGTTACGATATGAGGTTCACCTTTCTACCCTAATGACGGAACCAGGAAGTTCTTCCAAAGCGCTGGTACCTTACTCCCAAAATCTAACAATACCATGATATTATTTTGCTTTAAAAGGGATGATCTCATTTTAATAACATAATTATTATTTTAATGAAAATTCTTGAGAATTTACAGAAATTTTACAGTAAAAGTTCTACATAAATTGTAAGTATAAGAACTTAACTCAGTTGGCACAGCAACAGGTTGGATGCCTGGTTTCGATTATCAGCAGGGACAAGAGCTATTTCTTTTCTCCGGAGCGTTCAGACCCGCTATGGGGTCCACACAACCTCCTATTCAATGGGTACCAGAGGTGCATTCACAGGGTAAAGCGACCAAGATGTGAAGTTCACCATTTGCCTCTATCTAGTAACAATGTTAAAAAGGGTAAAACTGAACCTGCACTCTCTCATACATCTTTATGGCATAGTGCTTAATTAAGCACAGGAACAACTTACCTTATAATTCGTTTAGCTTCTGACCTCTGTGTTTGGGGCAGATGCAGGACTCTTTTTATGTATGTGCATTTCATTAGGCCACACCATAGCTCAAGTGGTTAGTCACTGTCTTTCCACCGTGGTGGCCTGGGTTCAAGCCCAGGTCTGGTCAAGTGGGATTTGTGGTGGACAAAGTGGCGCTGGGGCAGGTTTTCTCTGAGTACTTCGGTTTCCCCTGCCAATCTTCATTCCACCAAATTCTCCATCATAATCACCCAGGGAAGGTACAATAGACCAATCAGTGGCCGACGTGCCAAGTGGACCCAGCTGTACTCCACCCCCCACTATGGGGGGGGGAAAAGTGTATTTCATAAAGTGTAAAGCTACTATTATGTAATATTACTATTACGTTGAGAGAAATTACCATTTCTCTCAACGTGAAACTGTGTGACAGCCCTGGCACATTTATTTTCAGGGCTACACACTTAAATGGCAATGACCCATTGGTATGCTTTGATGACTATAGCATGCTTGCCTATTTGGGTGATGTTAAATGTGTCAATTATGTAAAAAGTCACTGGATAACGTCAGTGTTCATGTTTCTTCTACTTATTTTATTTGCATACAGAATTTCTACAGTCATTTTAATTAATTTTAAATAGATATGTAGAATAGGCAAATTAATTTGGTACATCAGCTGGCTAAGCTCACAGTTAACATGCTCTGATGTAAATTTAAGTGTTTCACTTGGCAAATTCCTCAGTGTGGGAGCTGGCAGAGCGAATCAGCCATCTGCTCACTTCTGGGCTCTTGGGAAAAACTGAATTGAAAGAGAATGAAATACACAAAATTTTAGTTCTAAAACTATTATTCTTTCATGAATACTCCAGGGCAATGAGTTAAAATAGTGTTGTTACACTGCTTAAACTGTCAAGCAAGTGTTAGTGAAGTTGTTTAGTTAGTAGGTTGAAAGGATAGTTAGTTGATTATACTGGGTTTCAGGACATTGTCCATCATGTACTATTCCCAAAAGAGCACAGCGTTACCAAGTGGGCTGGTGTAGCAATAAAGCTCTTGACTTGTGTGCTGGAGGTGCTTGGTTTGAATCTCTGCTGGGACACCAACTATTCTGACAGGTCTCTCGTGGTCTTCCTCAAACCCTCCAAAGAGTCTCCATTATTCTAGGACTGCTTCCTTCCGAATACTTTCCAATTCATATTCATCAGTTACCCTACAATTTGTCTCTATATAGTCTAGAAACTGTCTGTGCCATAGAATAAGCCACATCCCAGCAGAAACAAAACTTCACAAGCAGTAAACCATCTTGTGGGTTTCTGTCAACTATATCATATTCAGAAGGAATTTTAGTGTGTTGTGCGAGTCTGAACTAAACAGATGTGATATCACACAGACTTGCAGTACAAATCTTGTTTTGTTTTCAGCCCCGTGAGGAAGAGGATCAGTCGGATAATTCAGTGTCAAGTGAAGAGAATGAGACTGATGATGAAACACAGCATCAGGCGACAGTAGTTATAGAGACCATCCCCAACACTGTGGATCAAAAATCAAATGAGCTGGCTACATCAGCCTCTCAAGATGAAAACCCAAGTGCCACAGTGGTCACCACCATTGCTGCCAATCATCAGACTGCAGTGGCAACCTCTGATATTGCATTTCAGCGGGAGAAACCAGAAACTCCAGATTCAGACACGCAGACAGTAATAGGCACAAGTCCAGAAGATGTAGCAGCTGATGATGACAGTGTAAAGTGCCAGCGTGAGGAGCTAGATGACAGCTCATTATCTCTGGATTCTACAGAAGCATGTTCTGAAAGCACATCACAGACCTTCTACAGTCCCATCAACAGCTCCTGTGTCACACCAGAACCAAAGTCTTCTGGACCTGTAACATCCATCATGGCACAGGAATTGCAGACTCCTGAATCTGCTGAGGTATTACCAAAGCCTCCAGAAGGTGAACCTGAAGTAAGCCCTTCGGAGCTGTCAGACAACTTAGTGCCATTGCCAACCCTCACAAAAAGTAGTGGTGGCTCCAATGTATCAGGAGCAGTCTCATCTTCGAAAGATGTGAATGAAGATGTGAAAGGAAAAAGTAAATTTTCAGATTTCTTCAAGAAGAAATCTCAGTCTCATAAGAGCTGAGGTAATGGAATTACAATTGATGTATATATTGTAGATTAGGTATTCTTTAGTGTTCGCTGCTGTTTTATGAAATTTGTGTCATTAATTTTAAGGTAATAATAATTTGCATGTATCATAATTTTATGTTTGTGTTCCTGTAGACTTTTGCATAATTACTATGAATAAAGGCAATCAAATCCTGTGAATAACCAATGGGTAATTGTATTCAGCTAACTTAAAATGTTCTGGGAGAAAAAAAAAAAGAGAGGACCTGCTCTTCACCTCCCAAAGATTTGCCTAGCAATCTTCCCCTAACTGTTCTCATTTGCTTTAAGTCAGGTTCCTCTAAGTTTGTTTACATTTTAGCAGGCAGCTGAAATTTTAGAACTTGCATGCATAGTGCTGTGTCCACATGAAAATACTAGTATTCCAATGATCATGTTACATCAAAATCTTTAATATTTTGACCACTGCTATCTATAATTTGATCATTTACAATCTTTGCAGCTATGTTCTAACTTTCATGGGTATGATAAACCGAATGGGGTCACTGGACTTATGGAAAACGGCTTAAAAATACTGCTTGCATGGAATTTAATCCTAAATAAGAAAACATACGTTCAAAGGCGAGGTTACAAAAATTTGTTACATTCGTTTTATGATCCTTGCAACAGCATCTTTTTCCTTCACGTTAATCCTTGCTCACATTACATTGGATTACATACGCCTCGTGAAGCTCGTGGCCCATAAACTCTTCGTTATTGGTGGGCCAATTTAGCAGCCGGGTGCATTAGTGGTGCCATCTCTACGATCTCTACTAGATCGAACTAGAAGTTATTTATCATTGCTCTCGACCTCTCTCGACTACGTTCACTTTACACATGAAGTCATGGTCGTCATGGTTGTTGCTCGAGTCACACTGCGGCACAAAACCCTACTCTTAGGTGCTTAGGTGGATCTGCTCGATTCAGTTGTTATTCTCCGAGCGAAAATGCTTCCATGCATATCGTTTCTCTCTTCGAGTGAGATACATGGCTTATATTTTTGGTTGGTACGGGGGGCGATGATCACACCGATCACACCGCCAACAAGGAACAGCTGACAGAGAACACCCCAAATAATCATGGCGGTTGGTCTAAGATATGGTAGCCGTCCATGAAGAATTGGTTTTATTAAATTGAAATCTCACATGGAAATAATTTGATTTTTCAGCTAGTGCTGCTCGTAAGTTCATATTGGTATTATTTAATAGCTGTAGTATATACTTATTGGGGCGGCGTGCTGCTGAGTCGTTTGCTTATGGACATTGACATTTGACATTTGTAGTATATATCTGCCCACGCTGTTTATCTCTCTTGATTATCCAAATTTTACACCTTGTTAATTCATTTCATGTATGCAGTTATCTCGAGAAACCAATGGAAATGCGAAGTGATATGTTGAAAATACGAGTTCTTCTGAACACTGTTATAATTTTGGCGATGCCTTAATTGTAACCACTTTTTTCTCTGTCACAAGATATGACATGAAATTTTTGATTCATTTACCGGTCTGTAATCTCATTTTCATGTAATTCTATAAATGTATTGTTTTGCAGAAGGTGACAATGAGTCTGCTGAAAGATAACCAAGATGTGGCCTGTTTTCTTGTTATTAAGCATTCAGCGTGGAAAGGGAAGTAAGTAATTCAGATGAATATTTTTGGATCTCTTCTGGCAAGTATTGTTCAGTATTGTGGTTGAAGTTATAGTGGTATATATATAAATCAGCATTAAGTACTTGCAGGACTGATGAAAGAGGGCAAACATCGTAAACAGTGTACTTGAATAATTGAGATGGCATGCACAGTGTCGTCATGTTATCCCAGTGTAGCCTGATTTTAATTGACTCAAATAAGCATGATGTAATTGTTCAGCAGTAAACACAAATCTGTTGTGTCTGAAATTGTTGTGGAACCTGGCATAAGTAAGTAAATAACTCGGTGGTAAAGGATATTTTTTTTAGTATTTTTTTTATTGGTAGTGGGGCGGGACTAAGTCCCTTGTACTGCTACACTGTCTTAGTTTGAGTGATTTGAACATGAACTGAGACAGTATAGCAGTTTTAACACAATTTAATAAAATAATTGTAACATATCAAGACACCTGAAGATTGCTGTTTGGGGCCAAAACCTGTAGTGTCAAGGTGTATAATGTTAAACTAAAAATTGAGTGGTGAATGGAAGAGTGTTGCAATATTGACGGACGATAAATAATGGATGTAACGGGATCCTTGTTAATATTTCTTTCTAAAAGCATTAGCCTAAGATATCTGATTGCTGTGTTGACAGATACAGAAGAATCTTCTCCATTGGCTCAATGGGGATCACTACTTACAACCCTGCCTCATTGGAGGTGACCAATCAGTGGTTATACAGTGACTTTGTTAGTGTGTTGCCTACCCTGAAGGGTGCTAGTCAGCAGAACAGTGAGTTCAAGATCACATTCAAGAAGGATCGTAAAATTGATTCAATGACATTTTCCTCTGAGCATCGAGCTGATCTGCTTACAGAAGCTCTTCACTTTCGGTCATTATTTGCTGAAAAGACTAGAGAAGTACTGGTGAGTTGGATGGAATCAGAGAGGCTTGCCGTAACATTTACACTGTGTCAAGAAGACATTTGCAGTTTCACCATGCCATATCAGAAAATTTGTAGTTAATTTTTTATTCATAGATGTCAGAACCTTTAAAGACTGCATTTCTTCTAAATAATATATAAAAATTCAGTTTGTACCTTGAAAGAAACACATCATGTCTCTGCCACAAGCCCCAACTGGTTAATTTTGTTTGGGGAACAGTCACTGTTTACTGTGAGAACCATATGGAACACATAAATACACTCTGTGGGCAGTATGCAGAGTTTTAGTATGTTCAAGCATGTGGTACATATACTAACCACTGTGCTCTAGAAGATTAATGTTATCCCGGCAAATGAAACATGAGTCACAGAAAAGAAAGTTTACATTAGACAAAAAGTTTCTTCACTCTGCAGAGCGTTATGGCACCTTGCTATTGCTGTATGCCCATACACAGCAAAGTCTTGCTGGCGGTGCAGTGTGTGCAGTTCAGCTGGCTGAGTGTTTTCAGCATTGCCAATTAGAAGCCTAGAGTTTGAGAATTGTCAGGTTCAGTGTAGATTTTTCCGCTTCTCTCCCAGTCCTAACGTCTGAGGGAGTGTCAGCATGGTGATTTTCGTGATCACTGTGGTAAGGTGGGAATAAGGGGAAACAAAATGTACATAAAAAATTTGTTTTGGAGGGTAATATTAAAATGGAAGTATAGATTGGTTTTCTTAGTTAGCTATTTAACAGTGCTGTCAGTAACATGACTGTAGTAGCATCAGATGGTAGAATAACTGATTAATAATGAATTAGAAGGGATTCAGAAGGAAGCAGCTATGGCCTAATTGAGATACTATCCCCACAATTGCCTGGGGAACTCAGAAAAACCATAAGAAGCTTCAGTCAGGGTAACCAGTAACCTGGCCAGGTGGGTTGTGATGGTGTATAATTGATGTTTGCTGGCTTGGAATGTGGTCAGAAGTATTTTATTATAGTGGTAATGAGCAGTTGCATATAAATGGAAAATTTCACAGTCAGTTGAGTAATTCATTTCTCCATAATGGAGAAATGCTGCAGAATGTGATTGCTTACGTTTTCTCTGATGAATATATTTTGTGCGTGTATCTGTGAAGGCAGATTGTTCATATCAGGTATTTGTTGGCAGAAGTATCATGCATACAAGCACCATTGGTCTGACACACGGCTACCTGTGCTGCTGGAAGTCACACCATACTCTCTAAACCAGCTTGATCATGCCACAAATCATGTTCTTGCTTCGTATTGCTATAAAGATATTGAAGGCATGGCAGAAGTCAAGGATTATCCTGGAGGTTTCGTGGTGGTCTGTGGAGGTTTCGGAAGGATGGTATGTTTGCAGAAGTGTTCTACTTGTTCAGAACCCTTTGAGGCAACATGATGAGAATAATATTCTCTGACAAAATTATGAGAGGGGTTGAGATGATAACCAACATTTGTGCCATTAGTAAAGTCTTTTTTTAAACTCTGTTGAGTTCAGTATAGCGTTGGTTGATGGATGTTCAAACATCCTTTGAAATAGTATTGTAGAAACACTGTGAATGAATTTGAATTAATGGAGAATTCTCTTGAAAGTTTTGTGATGTTTAACTTGCAATGTGTTTGTTCCAGCACCTATTTTCATCATCTCATTTCACTGAACTTCATCAGAAAATGATGGACATGGCTGTGAAGTGCATAGGGATTGGCATCAAGGTTTTGAAAGACCCTATAACATTGGACGAGTTCTGTGCACAGCGGTTAGGGAAATTTAGGTTTGTAAGACTGTACAATTTTATATTCATATACAAGTTGCCAATGCATGTACTTTCTACTCAGTTTGTATGGTGTAAATTAGAGTACAAGAGTACAAGAATGGGTGTGAAATGGCTCTTGTACTGTGATTGCATTCAGTCTGTTTTGTGTAATATATACATTGGCAATGCAACATAAGATTTTTTTTGTGTTGTACTAACTAACACGTGCTTTTTATTCAGGAGGGTCCATGTTCAGTCCTCAGCCTAGAGGCTAGCTATATTTAGATGTCTTGTGGTTTTATTTATTATTTTTTGGTCCCTCCAAACACAAACTGATACAGTTCCTGAAAACTGGTCACAGTGATTGCCATTCATTTCTTATTCATGTTCAAAATTGATGGATGGGTTTGCAGATGGTGAAATTCAAGTTATTCGTGCTGTCTGACACCGTGAAGTGAATGTTTCAGTGGTGATGAGCACATCACTTCTGTTTCGGAGTTCAACATCCACAAAGTACACAACACCCGCCACCAGGAGCCGCAGCGTCGAACTCTGTGTCTCAGTGAGACATGTCTTTTGGAGCGAGACCCTCAGACATACAGCATCTGTACCCTGAGACCTCTGGGTGACATCTTTGCACTTGTAAGGAGCCAGGACAACCCACAGCTTTTCAACATTGAATATATCAATGGTCATGTTCGCACTTACACTGCCACAGACAGGTAAGCACTTAAGTCACAATGTTTGCTGTCTCCTGCTGTGAAGCATTTTATCAGATAGTGTTAGAACCCCTTTTTTATCTTACTTCTTAAGGCCTTATATAAAGTCATGCCATAATTCAAGCAGCTGGACACTGACTTCTTGCTTTAAGCCTTTGGATTCCTTTGTGACATCATTTAAAATTCATGGTGGGCAAAGTGCAGCTGGAGTAGGTTCTTATTATCAAGTTTCTTTGGTTTTCCCATGCTAATTATTATTTCACCATTCCTCCATGCTTATCTGTCACTGTTCGCCTGAGATGTGTGACAGCCGTGACCAGACCACACATTGTCATATCTTTGGTCTTTAAGTTCAAGACTTCCTCATCTGATTCAGCATCTGAAAGTTATGTATTCTGAATCCCTTATGTCTAGGTACTGTTTTACAGCCTGCTGTCAGTAATACCACAATGATGAGCATACAAACCGGTGAGACCAGCGGAGCACTAGTGCTGTTTGGAGTAGAGTTGTGAAGTTTTGTTACTGTGAAAGAAAAGTATGCACCTTTTATTATGGTATATTTTTTTTCAAAATATTCATGGCTTTTAAGGTAATTAAAAAGAGGGAACATACCAGAGTTATTATGTTATGTTTACATTGTTGTGACTTGTTGTGACTGAGTGCCTGCCCCAAATTTGTTTTATATGCACAAATATTTATGACCTGTACCTTTATATCATAATGTATTTTTAACTAACTGCAAAGTTTATGGCTGATTTTGTGCGACCTTCTATTACGTCAGTGTTTGTTTTCAAAGTTGTACCATGTGCTGCAGTTGTTCCCTTCAGGGTATTTTGTTTATATTGTCTGCAGGGATGCATTGCTAGCCTCTCTTTTGGATGGAGTACGAGCCTCAGGGAACCGAGATGTTCATGTGAAGATGATGCCCACCCCCAGAGGCAAACGGATTGGTCCTCTTAGTGTTCCTGTTGAGGAAGAGGTACAGACACCACAAACACCTCCCCACATATTGTCATTCTCGGATCTTATTCACATTGTAGATAGTAATGCAGTGTCTTGGTTATACTGGAAAGTGATTGGTTGATTTGTTTCTGCTGCCTCTACTGACATGCATGGCGCAGATTCTGTTACCTCCAATGTTAGGGTGACCATGAAACTGATGACCAAGAGAGGTAACCTGCAGGTTAATGTGGACTTCAAACTATGAGGGAACCTCACAGTCTTCACATTGCCAAAGTTTTGTGTTTGGTAGAAGTGAAGTGTTAATTTTGTGGGCAGAGAAATTTGAATATAGACTTGACTGGGGATCATACTCAGGTCTGTAACAGAATCACACTTTCAGATCTATATTTTCATGTTTTTGTTTTCTGAATTTTGACAAATGAAATCCATTTGTTTATATATTTCTACCAAAGACACAAATTCATAATAGTTTCATGTTCTAACAAATGAACTCCATGGAGCAGAGTTTTTCTTGGGAAGCTGGTAGTTACTCAGCTACTAAAGAAATTTCCTGCCTTTTGTGGAAAGTGAAAGTTCATAACCATGTTCATATGATTGCACCACTGAACCCCATCCTGAGCCAGATGACATTAGTCTGCACCCTCACATCCTACAGTTGAATGTTGCTGCAGAACTACTGCTTGTAGAGGAGCTGGGCAAAGAATTCTTATGGATCGCCTCCCACTCTGTCTGCCTTCCCTTCCTGTGCTCCTCTCTCTCTCTCCTAGTCCTGTGGCAGGATTACTTCTGCACCATTAGGTGAGGGGTGCCTATAGGAAGGCTAGGGCATGAGAGCGTGCCTGCCTTCTAGCAGCCTTTGTCATCACTGCCTATGAGAATTCTGTGACTATCTGAAGTGTTGAACAGCCAAGGCTGTTGCACTGGACTTCCATAAATCGCCTTCAAACAACAGCAGGTATAGATCATTTGAAAGCTGGTTCTTTCCTTTAATGTCGGTATGCCACACCTGATGCCATCTGTAGACAGCAGTGCTGTGCTAATTAACAGTGTGCCAATTTCTTCAGCTGTGGCAGTTTTAATGCAAGTGACCCATGCTGATATGATCAGTTCTTGGCAGGGAGACGGTCAAGGTCCATCCAAATGGTGTCTCCTTTTCAAGTGTTCTGACTGAAATTTAGGTTCTTTGTTTAATTACCAATTTCTGTTTGTGCTAGACTGAGTCACATCATCTGCGCTTCTTCCGGCAGCCTCCCGGGCAGAAGTCATTCGCTGAAATTGTTGAAAGATTTAATGCCAACATTCCATATAGCGGTCTTCTTCATTCCGTGACGCAGGATGTAAGTATCGTGCTGACTATAGCAACTTTGGTGCAGATGAGATTACTTCTTGCACACTGACCACAAGTTCCTGTGCAGGGTTTGTTTGCAGAAAACAAGGAGAAGCTCATCACAGCAGCATTGCAGTCACTTGTTCAGAAAGAAGGTGACCAGGGCACCATCTCTTTGGCAGACCTGGAAGCTCAGTTTCAAGCACTGCGACGCTTAGTGGCCTCCAAAGTGGGTTTTGCAGCCTTCACCACGATGCCTGGGTGAGTTCAGGGTTCCCTGGAGGCTTGTAAGCTTTCCTTCTCTCCCTGTGTTGCCCAACTTTACATTCAGAGTTATGTTTTCTGTTTCTCACACTGGGTTTAATTGGTATTGGATATTCTGCGAAGGCATTTTATAGTTGCCATTTTGATCGATACTTGTAAATGTTGTTTTTCGTTCTTGAGGATTGCTGTGTGTCTTGAAAATGCTTAAATGGCTGTTCCGGGTCACAGAAACTGCATGCTGAACTCAGTGAGCATGCGCAGCACCTTCTGTCAGCACCACGTACCGGACACTGATGCTTCTCATGGCACTGAAATAACTATGGATAATGAATTTGCATATAATGACTGTTATCTGTGCTCCTTTTTCTTGAATATTATTTCTGTGCTTGCTAAATGGCTGTCTTGAACATTATCACATCAGTCTGATTTTACCAAAGGATTTGTAACAGTTTTAATTTTTGTTGTATTAAAGTGATACAAAATGTGTGAATAATGCCAGTTTTATAAATGGTGAAAGTTGATTGGTAATGTAGCGCAAACATTGATGTTCTTTTGAAGATGTGTAACTGTAATATGTGTAAAATTCCTAAAATATGTGTTGGCAAGTTTGCTGAAGCTACACACACTTAAAAAGCATTAGTTTGTAGGAGAATTATAATGTCTATATGTTAAACTGTATAAGAAGGGTATGTGTATTCTTTTCATGTAAAACAAAGTTTAGTCACCTCTTTCAAAACACAATTGTGGAATTGTACTTACTGTGTGGTACGCTGAGTACAGAATTTAAGCACTGAAAGTCTGAATTTTGTGTGTTATGGTTGCAGTATCAATATTACTGATTCTGGGCTTTAACAGCACTTAACTATTAACAGTAATTCAGTTTTTGAATGTTTACACCATGTGGTTGTGGGCATCATTGCCGGTGTTTCTGAGGTACACATTGCCTCTGTCTTCTGGGTCAAAGTTTTATGTGGTAGAGATCATCCAGGTTGAGAACAATACTTAAGAACTCTAGAAGGATATTCAATTTTTAAGTGTTTGTTAACCTTCAGTGTACACAATAAATTTGAGGTTATGTCTGTCAGTTTGTTATGAGAGTGATGTTGAAGTGCTTCCCTTTGTGCCAAGGGCAGGTTCCGAGAGAGTGTTGGTGTGAAAGTGGTGAAGGCTTTGAGGAGGGAAGATGAAGGCGTGACACATGCAGCTATTGACATGGTGTGTGCCCTGATGCACCCCATGCATGATAACTATGATCTACGGCAGGAACAGCTGAACAAGTCGTCACTCCTGTCCTCCAGCAAGTTCCTGGAGAGCTTGCTTGCCATGTGGATCAGCCATGTGGTAAGCTTTAAACTGTGCTGCAATAATGTCTAAAATATCTTTGTAGGTATTTCATACATTCAACAGACAGCCTTGCAGGATAAAAGTCCTCTTTGTTCAGTGCTGTTTTTGGTATGGTGATTTTGTTTCCCATTGTATGTTGAAAATAGAATCTAGTAATTTTCTAATGGTGATAGAACAGTCTACATTAATATCTGATGATGAGATACATTTGATTACATACTGGTGTCAGATATCATGGACAACTGGGTGGCTGTGGTGTTTTGTGTTTTTGAGGTCCTGGGTTTAAATCTGAGCCCAGAGACTAAATTGATGTTTCTTGTGGTTTTCCTTAATCCCTCCCTGTCTGCACAGCTACCCACACAGCATTGCATGTTTAGTTGTCAGGCATCGCACACTGCAACAGTGCATGTATGTCATCCAGCTGGGTGAACATTTCTTTATTACTCATACCATTGAACTTGAGTTAAATGCGGGCCACCAACCCTCTCATTTTCCTGTATGACAAAGGTGAAGTGTACACAGGCCAGTGCATTTTGTGCAGTTTTTCTTTAATATTACTTTATGACACTATCAGTAGCTAGACATACGCACACATGTTCATATGTATGTACATAAGGAGTGGGCCTAACTGCTGGCCCTTGCACCGTGATCTTTAATGATCTATTGTGTATACTCATCCGTTTTAACTCTTCAACAGTGCTACACTTTGAATGAAGTGCATGCTTCTGTTTACAGAGCATCATGATAGTCATCTCCTTCCATAAAATAGTAGCGCAGGTGAGGAATTCTTAAATAAGCTACAGTCACACATTCACATAGGATGTGTGTGTGTTGCTGTTTCATCTTTTTCTAGGCACCTTTCACAAATAGGACTGTCAGTCCCATTTTGAGAAGGTATCCTTTTAGGTGACAGTATCCTATAAGTAGTCTTAGCATCAGTAACTAGATGATCCGATGTTATATTTGAGGATGAGTGATGAATGATGAAATGGAAAAGATTTGGAAGGAAGCAGTCATGGCCCAGTTGCGGTGCTATCCCAGTATTTGCCCAGGCAGACTCAAGAAAACTGCACTAGAATCTGTCAGGATAACTGGTGCCCTGGCTGAGATTCGAACTGACAAGCACCCAAAGATGAGTCTAGAGGGTTACCACTTGACCAACCAACACAGTTCTCACTGCGCAGTTTTATGTTGCTATCCTAGTTTGTGTAATTCTTATAAAAGTATAGCAGTTTTTGTCTTTCTTGCATCATTTTCTTGTTATGTTGAACTTACTGAAATACATTTGTATTGATTATATTGTCAGAAATGTCTGCTTTTGATATATTTCAGTGAATAAATTATAAGTTTTCAGGCCTGGTTTGGTTTGCAAGTCAGTTTCTTGCACTTCCACTGTCTCATGTAAGAGCTAGCTGCAGAAACAGGAAATTGGCTTCCCACAGTAAGTGTGTCACTCAGCCATTGGTTTGCTTCTGATGTTTCAGAGTCATGGCACTGGAGCGCTAGTTGTGTCATCAATGTTGGATTTTCTCACATTTGCACTGTGTGTGCCTTACAGTGAGACAACAGATGGCAAGCATTTTGACAACTTGTTGGAGATGGTGGCTGACAGGGGCCGATCCCTCTTCAGACTTTTTCAGGTGTGCTGGCTGCCCTTTGAATTGAATTCCCATACAAATGGTGAACATATGTCATAGATGTGAAGTTCTATTGAAATTTATGAATAACCTCTTACAGGGTCTTTCTTATGGAAGGGGCTCTGAATTAATGATTATAAACGTTGCAGTAGTTTACTGATGAAAATGAAACTTGACAACACTATGTGTACATTACAAGACTGGCCTGATGCCTGCCTGTTTGCCTGGTTCACACCGTTTCCTTCAGACTGTGATTCCCTTTGATCCCTCCTGACATGCTGGCTGCAACATTTGTGAGCATGGAGTGTGATTTCAGTCTGCATCTCCAGGTGGATGGAAACCCAGTTACCTCCACACCTACCAAAGTATGTATTCGCCAAGTTTTGTTTTCATTGGTAAATTTTTGCATAATTTGTAGGTGTTATGTTGAAGCCTTGTCCAGGTGAATCACTCTGTACATCAGGATACAATGAAGCTGTCATCTAAGGTTTATTTGTGGAGTGGTAGATTTGAACACAATATTAAGGGAAGTAATTTAATGCTGAGATTTGCTCTGACTACGCCTGTAGGCTGTTACTCTGCAAGTAATGTATAGGGCCCAAGTTCCAAACAATTGCTGCATGTCACTGGAAAGATTTGCTTTCTCTTTACACAATGTGCAGTGTGGATACTTGATGACGACATGTTTTTTTGTTGGCAGCACCCTTCTTTGGCTGTGGTGAAAGGAGCAGGATTGGTAATGCGAGCTGTAATAGAAGAGGGTGAGGCAGAAGTGGCTGCTCGGATGCAGGACCTGGCATTAGCAGAGGGGGCACTTCCACGCCATCTGTTGACAGCTCTCTTTATTCAGGGCACAGATGGTCGTGTCCTCACTCACCGGCAGCTTTCTCGCCACCTGGTGGGCCTATGGGTGACAGGTCACCCCACTGCAATGGGTCTGCTAAAGAGAATAATGGTAGGATCAGTTGACATTGCAATGGTATTAACCATTTCAGTATTCTAATGACAGAGCAGATGACAGAGGGAAGAAATTGATCGTTGGTGACATAAACGTTAATTTTACAGAGCAAATTTTTGAGAACGTGAATTCCCTCAGGACATTGGTCATTAGTAAGCTTTTGTGATGACTAGTATGTGCATTTATAATCCAAAAGGCGCAAGTAATTTTGGAACATCTGAACAGTGGAAGATTCAGCATTAGTTGAAATTTGAGGGTCTCTCAGTGGTCAGTATTAAGGTTCCTGTCTTCTTTGATGTGACCCTGTATAGTCTGATAGGTGAGTACTAATGTTACATAGTAACCCTGCTGCCTCCATCTTCTGTGCTGAAGCTGAAGACAGCAATGTCCTCTGAAATGTTGCCAACCATCTGCCAAACTACACAGCATCACATCCCATTGGATTGCATTCACCATATAAATTATTTATGGAGTCAGGCAGTGGTACTAAGAAGTGCTTCTGAAGGGTTTGGGGTGTACCTGTGATCTGTGTTCAAGTAATTATTTGCTCCATCATCTGGACTTCATGTTGTTGTGATAAAAGTAGAACTGAAGCATGTTGGTATAACTGCATATTGCTGTTCTGTGATTTTGCATCTTGACACAAGATTTAGGTTCTTCATGTGGTAACCTTTCTGTATGACAAGTGAAAAATGTCCAATTATGTTATCAGTGAATTTAATTGTATAAATGAGCTACAGTGGTGACGTCATATCTCAAATCAAATTGTAAAACTTAATCCAAACACTGCAGTCAGCTGGGCACATTCTTACTGTGTATTTGCAAACATCATCCGAGGGACCAGTTATTGTGATTGAGCTGCTGAGTAAGTGGGATCAAGCGGTAAGGCTTCCGAACTGTATTCAGGAGTGCTCAGTTAGAATCTTGGCCTAGAGCCTGGGTATCATGACTGAAGTTTTTTGTAGTTTTCCTCAGTATATTTAAGCAAATGCTGGGATAGTATCTTAAACTAGGATATGAGTGCTTCCTTCTACATCCTTTCCAATTCATTATCCATTAATCATTGGATGTTTCAGTGCTATATAATCTTTACTTTTTTTTATAGCTATTGGGATGGGACTAAGTCCCTAGTACTGCGGCCACTTCTGGCCTACTGTACCAGCCTCGGATGATAGGTGAGGGTGATTGTGGAGTAATTGGTGAAATGAAGATTGGCAGGGGAAACTGAAGTACTCGGAGAAAACCTGCCCCAGCACCACTTTGTTCACCACAAACCCCACTTGACCAGACCTGGGATCAAACCTGGGCCACCACGGTGGGAAGCCAGCGACTAACCGCGTGAGCTATGATGCGGCCCTAGTCTTTACTTACTGATAGCATCCTCAAATAAACCACAAATAGACATATTTCCCTATTATATTGTGACGCGTTACCTTGCATCTATCACTGCGACAATCGCTACAACCGGAACGGACACTTCCACGACAATGAATACATGGAAATTGTGGAGTTCCTGCAGTGACAAATCATAGCAGTGAATTGTTGTTGAGTAACAGTGGATGAGACGAAACACGTTACTGGTGTAATCTATAGGGAGCATTCCTGAAGCAATGGATTGCCGAACACATGAGATTGAACCTTGGTGAGGGGTGTCCTCTACTGAGTCTGCGCGCACCTTATGTAAAGGGCATGGCCTTGAACGGAAATTGAGCATAGAGAACGAGATAGTCTTGGGATAGCTGCCGCCTGGGACAGTTGAGGTCCAACCACGGCCAAGGATAGTTGAGTATTGAGTACTGGGCCAGAAGTCAACTGATACTGCAAGTGGCAATAATTGTAAGGTGTGTAAGAATGAGTGTCCAATAAAGATTTGCTAAATCTGAGACCTATGTGAAGTTATTTGTTGCGTGACACACCCAGCACATGACAATATGATATGGTGACTTCCTTTACCCCACTCAGACAGTTTCTGTTCCTCCACAGCCTTCAGGTCTTCTGGTGTACCTAGACTCTGAGGACAAAGTTCCTGATTCAGCATTAGAACAGGAGCACCTGAACACGAGGGACAACCTCAAGATTGCCCAGGATCATGCTAGCAAGAACCGACGGGGACAGCACTGGATCACCATTGAGCGCCAGATAAGGGTCCTGGAGAAGCGTGTGGAGGTATGAAACATGTCTGTTCAAGCATTCTTGGGTGGGATATCTGTTGATTTCACATACATGTGTTGGCATAACCTGCAGCAAAGCTCAGAACTGAAATTTTGCTGACTGGCAGAGTTGGGGGTCATGTAAATTTCTGTATTTTTTAGGGTGCCATTCTATCACAGAATAACTGCTCAGTTTAAATTGTATTGAAGGACAAACAAACATAATTCTTGGGTGTTAAGGACATATATGATACAGGTTCATTTTAATTCTTACTCTGTTGGGTGACTGTGTTTAGGAAAGTACACATTCTGCATAGAAGACAGCAAATCCCACTGTGTCAGTACACAAATGTATATGCTGGATATTACAGAATGCATTGCGACATTGGGGTGACAGAATGGGACTGGAGAGGAGAGAAGACAAGCTTAAAGAAAGGCCCATTGTTCTGCGGAAGAGACGGGAGCGCATCAAGAGTGAAGCAAACTGGAGCCTGTTCTATTACAAGTTCACTCAGGACCATGCACTGCCGAACCTCATATGGAACCACAAGGTGGGTGCTACAGCAGGTGAATGTATGGGGTTTCCAGAGAATTTTTGAAATCATAACTTCAGTAGTCTGCAAAGATCATGAATTACAAGTGTGTTGAAACACAGTATGATGGGGGATATGAAATCTGTTGGGGAGAAAGAAAAGTGTGCGATGAGAGTATCGTGATTTGTACAGATGCTAATTATACCCTTTGAAACCTGAAATTCATACAAGTATCATCATTGTGCTTTAAAGGGATGTGAATGTGGTGAAGCCAGCTGTGCAGTCGTAGCATATGGGGAGAAACAGTAGATGCTGCAGAAGTTTACTGGGGAAAAACTCTTGGAAAGTAGCCACTTAAAGAGATGGAAGAGTAATGTTAATATGGAGCTTTTAGATATAGGTTGTAGGGATTTGTACTGCATTGTACTGGACCAGGATTGAGCCCTCTGACAGGCTTTTGTATTAATTTTCATGTCATGTTGGATTTGATTGTGACAATTTTGACTGTGAAGAGGAATATTTTCTGGGATACAACACCAAGCAGTCTGGTAAGTGGCTAACATATTGAGAAATACACCTCTTTCTGTTTTCAGGATTGAAGAGTAAGTCAAGCAGGCAGCAAATGTGGTCTGTGTGCATCTTGCTGCTTTCTTCCAAGACTTACACTTTGATCTTGAAGATGGAGGCAGTGTTTTCTTCTGAAATGTCAGTAAACATCTACCAGACTGCACAGTGTCATATCCCAGGATATAGTCACTGCTGTCAGAACCTCACATCTCATGAGTGATATTCATTTGATTGACCCGTGCAAATACAGCCTTCTACTGTCGTGTCATTATGAGGTTCGTTCAGTTTCTCAGCCCTGATCTCTACTGTTTTCCAGACGAGAGAGGAGCTACGTGATGCCCTAGACAATGAGATCCGAACATTTGTGTCTGACCGGGACCTGGCAGGCAGTGCCCTCATTGCATGGAATCACCATGAGTTTGAAGTGCAGTACCATTGCCTTGCAGATGAAGTGTGTATCGGCGAATATTATCTGCGTCTACTCCTGGAGAAAGAAGATTCCCCAGACTCTCCAATACGTCGTTCATACGAGTTCTTCAATGACCTGTACCATAGGTTCCTATTAACGACCAAATCAGAAATGAAAGCCGTGTGTCTTCAGGCAATGGCTATTGTGTACGGACGCCATCATGAAGACATTGGCCCTTTCAGTGATACAAAATATATTGTCAGCATGTTGGACAGGGTGAGTGCTGTACTGCTTGCCACAGTGTAGAACTCCATCACTTACACATCTCTTCCAGTGCTGTTAGGGTGGTGAAATCAACTGAGTTACAGTGGGGTGGAGATACTCCTACAGTGGAGCTATTATATGTATAGCCAATGCTGAATATTCATGGGGAAAGATTTCGGGAAGCACCCATTTATAAGACCAAGAAAAAGATGATAGTCAAATATAAAACTAAAATAGGTTATGATGATGAGATTGGCTGAGTGTTCTGTCCATTGTTGGGCTTTTGTGTTAGTTGTGTTGATGACTATGTTAAATAAATGGGATGGATTCATCTGTTGATGAGGATGATCATATGTATGTGTGAGAAGCATTGCCGGAGTCATAGTTGGTTAGTTGGTCAGTCTACAGTTAGACTCTGTCTTGAACCTGTTCAGTCCATTTAACATTGTTTTAGATCTGTGAAGATAGTTAACTGAAACACTGATGGGTTCTTATCAGTTTCTGAAACACATGATATCACATCTCGCTTTCTGTACACAGTGCATGGACAAGATGGAACGTGATCGCTTGGTCCTCTTTATGAATAAGCTGATCCTTCATCGTCGCAATGTGAAAGACATAATGGATGCCAATGGGGTGCGGATACTTGTGGACCTGATGACGCTTGCACACTTGCACACATCCAGGTATGATGGACTTTGCCTTACAGGTGTTGTTGTCGATGTCTGAGGCATGTTACCATGTTAATGGATTTTGTTTTCAGGGCAGTGGTCCCAACCCAGAGCAATGTGATTGAAGCTGGTCCAAACATGATGAGAGAGAGTGAGAAGGAGTGGCACTACAATTGCTCGGGAGAAAGGAAAGGTCCAGTCAGCTTCCAGGAGGTTAGATGAGTTCATGTTTGTGAAATATCTTGTAGCAAGGGGTGAGCAAAATTTAACACCTTGCCTGCCAAGCATGGAACTGCCTTTTGGGAATATGAATATTGCCTGGGGTTGAATGCAGTTGTTCAGAGTTACCTACAATACTTTCTCAGATTACCTTCAAATGACCACAGGTATAGACAATATTAAAGCCTGTTCCTCGGAATATCGAGGTACGAACTGAATGTTTATATATTATTTAGAAGAAATTCTGTCTTTAAATGGTTAAATTCCCATCTGTCCTGACACTAATAATGCTTTATGTGTGTAGTTTCTTAGATTCATGTTCTTTTGTTGTTCCTTCAGTCTCAAAACCCAAATGCTCAAATGGCTGTAAACTGTACCAACTTCTCTCATCTGTGACATCTTGCATTTAGAACTGTGTGTGTTTCACCTGGCTTGTTACATAAACATAGGAACTGTGACTACTAAATTGGAGCACTTGTTTTGCTTTCAGATGCGCAGTCTCTGGGAGGCTGGTGTGCTCACAGTGAAGACGAAGTGCTGGGCTCAGGGAATGGATGGATGGCGCACACTACAGCAGGTATCCCAGCTCAAATGGAGTCTCATGGCAAAGGGAACGCCTGTGATGAACGAGAGTGAACTAGCTACACTCATCCTTAACATACTTATCCAGATGTGCCAGTACTTCCCTAGCAGGTGATCCAGTTAGGTTAACTAAATGAGAGTTATGCAAAATTACGTGACAAAGCTGTTCATCATGTACAGTTATGATAAAATTATTTATTTGCCTACATATGTAAAGAAGCGAGCTACACAAATAAACACAATTATATAATCAATAATAAATTAATTTTTAAAATAATTAATAGTGAATGAAATACAGTAATTGTGCAGAAGCAATTTCACACAGAGAAAATTTATTGATTGTTGTTTTGACCTCAGTTGCACTAAATTGTGGTATGAGGTGGAAGGTCAAACATTTCTTATATTAATTGCAGGTTATGTACTAAATTAGGGGAATAATATGCGTTTGTGTTGTACTTCAGCTGGGACCAGAAAAATATTCATGCAGTAAGGAATATTATTGAATGTTTTCTTGTTGTAACGCCTGCATGACATTTCCTCTAGAAACACTCCCCCCTGGAGATCCGATTGGGGGAGTAGTTTACCTCCGGATTGTTTTGCCTCCAGAGGAAACATGTCACATACATGGTATCTCTGTTTTTGGAAAGAGACTATCCAGGAAAAGTGATAATGTGGTAGTTTTTCCATTTGCTTTCCACATCGCAGTACAGCAGCTGTT